TTCAACGTGAACAAATAATTGGTAACTCATGCTCACTAAATGTAATAAATTAAATTAACTGATTTCCAAACAGTAAACTATATTCCTAAAGTTCTATTGTGTGATTTATTAGTAAAATCATGTTGCTAGTATTTTATTTTGGATTTTTCAATGCTTATTCATACAGAAATTGACTTACAGTTTCCAATTTTTGTGGTCTGTCATATTTTGGAATCAAGTTTGTGCTAGTTTTCAGAATAACTGAGGAATGGAAAGAAAGTGTTTTCTCTTGCCCTGCTCAGCAATGGCTTACATAAAATGGTAATGGTCTTTTCTTTGGATGTTTAAAGAAGTCAACTGGAAAAAGTTATTTGGGTTAATACCTTTTTGGAACTGTATCTCTGACAATCTTCATTTATTCTGGGTGTATTAGGTTTTATCAGGTATTTCTTCTTGAGTTAATTGGGTAATTCATATTTTACTAGAAATTGATATGTTCTTTAGAACTAAAAATTTATCAGACTAGACTTTTTAAAAATATATTTCTCCAAAGTTGTATCCATAGTCCCTTGCTTATTTCTAACATTTTATTCTTTTATCTTTCTAAAGTTAAAAAGTTTATTTGATGTTGTTCCTTTAGAATTTTTTAATTTCATGTCTTTATAATAATGTCAAAATAAATCTCAATTTTTTTTTTTAAGAAAAAGTAACAAGTAAGAGTGGACTTGTTATCCTTACTGATATTGTCTTTTCTGGGGGGAAAAATGAAAGAAATGTCTAGTTGGGTATACGCCTGTAATACTATTATCTTGGGAGGCTGAGAAAAGAGGATCGTGAGACCCTAAGCAACTTAGTAAGACATGTCTCAAAATTTTAAAAAGACGTGGGGGAGATGGCTCAGTGGTTAAGTGCCCCTGGGTTCAATCCCTGCTACCAAAAAAAAAAGCTAACATTTAAGTATTTGTGTTCAGTTAATACATATTATGTCATATGCTTGTAACAACCCTAAGGAGTAGGCCCTCTTAAAATCTCCATTTCACATGTGAGAAAACATATTCTTAAGGAGGCTAAGCAATGATCCTGCTATTCATAAGATGGGGAACTAAAATTCAACTCCTCTCTCTCTCTCTCTTTCTGACCCCAGAGTTTGAGCTCTTCATTTTACTACCCTGCTTTTCTTCCTCAATGTCTTCTTTCGGTTTTCCTTTAGTGACTTTGTGCAGTTTTTAATTCTTAACTTTTATTTTATTATTGATTAATAAATCTATTTATTGTGTAAATTTACCTCCTGAGTCCTATTTATCAGCGTAAAATGTTTCACTATATGGAATTCTCAATGTTATTCTTTGCTAAATAGTCTAAAACTGTATTTTTTTGACCTGAGTTATTTAGAATTTTTTTCTCCCCAATGAGTTTTTGGGACATTATTGTTTATAGATTTGTAAATAATGTCAGTTTTATTGTATTATAACAAAAATGTGATACTATTTCTGCATTTTGGGATTTACTGAATTTTTCTTCATTATCTAATATATAATTTGTTATTATAAGCATTCTATAGATTTCTAAAAGATGATATATTTTCTATGGGTGAGCACTATGGTACCCATTAAATCCATTTTTTAATATAGTTTAAATTGTGCCTATATTTGATCTGTCAAAGATGGTGATATAGGTGAGCTGTTTCCTAAGAAAATTGACTTTATATAACTCCCCTTTTATTTCCAACAATTCTTGTGTTATTTATGTGAATACTATGCTATTTGTTTACATAAAGCCCCACTGTTATTATAGCTTTGCATCATGGCTATATATAGTTTTTTAATATAAAATGGTACTCTTCTGCCCTTCCTAATTCCTTTAGTCTTAAACTTTGGAATTAATATTGTCAATTATATTCTTTTTGTTAGAATGTTAATATACATTTTTGGTTATACTTTTGCTTTTAGCTTTTTGCTTCCCCACTTCCAAATGTGGGCTTTTAAGCTATTTTGATATTTATTTTTATATGATGTTTGCAGATAGAGTTTGATTTTATTTTTTATTAAATGAGAATTTTCAAAAAAATTTTCTCTTTTGGATTATCTTTCCAGTTTTTATGCGTTTTGTGTATTGCACGTGACACATGATTTTGTTTGCTTGTTTTCCTGGTGTTGCTGCCATGGGCACCCATGAGATGCTCTATTGCAACACTCAGATCTGCTTCAAGCATCCACCAAGTACACCGGGCGTCTTTCTGAGCACTCTCAGTATCTCACCACAGAAGGGAGCCCCAGGAGGTGCTGCAGTATGTCCTGTTCTCTATTCTCACCTCTGGCTTCAAAAGGGGGTGGGATTAGTGGCATAATCCCAGGGTCTTCTATAAATATTCTCTAAATTTTTTTCCCCTCAGGATCATTATATAACCTGATCTTTGATATCTTCCACCAATCTCCTCCCACATAAACTATAACTTGATTGTGTTTCTAAAAATGGCATCCTTCCATAGTTTCCTACCATGATACAGATTTTTTTTTCCTGTTTTTATGTGTCTTTGGTCATTTCAGGGGAGATCTGATAAGTGATGGGGAAGAAGCCTTTGCTCATGTGTGTGTGTGTGTGTGTGTGTGTGTGTGTGTGTGTGCACGTGCATGCGTGCACATGTACCCATATTTTTGCAAATGTCTAATTATCCTGCATTTAGGGTGTCAGGACATTCAGGCAGAAACACGAAGGAAATCAGTGATTAAGTTTATGGATCTGAGACATAGAACAGACCTAAGGTCAAAAGATAAATTTGAGAGATATGATGGAAGTCAAATCACAGGAATGGGAGGGACTGCTTAGAGCAGTAGTACTAAAATCTTGCAGACCATTAGAATATCAGAACCCCTGGTTTCATTCCCTGCCAGGTTTCTGTTCTCACTACTAAAAGGCTCAGGGGTCACTCCAGTTGAACTGGGCTAACTGGGCTGTGCAAAATAACCACAYGAGAGACACAAATACCTTTTTCTTTGGGGTGGATGTGACGGCTCCTCTGACCTTAAGGGTCTGCAGGAAGAGAGAGACAGAGACCCCTTTTATTGAGGAGAAGCTATTCAAATGAGGCAAGGGGTCAGGTTTCAGGGAGCTGAGTCTATCTTCATGATGTCCACTGTCAGCAGGTTGATTGACACCTGGGTAGGCCACATCCAAGGGCACAGTAAGAGAAGGGGACACATACAAGGCACTTCCATGGAAGATTCTACCCTAAACAGGGCAAGGGGTTATATTACAAAGGAACAGTTGAACATAGCTCCACCCATGGGGCTGTAGGAAGACACAGTCACTGGAACCCTGGAAGAGCCGAACCCTGGAAGAGCCGAACCCTGGAAGAGCCGAACCCTGGAAGAGCCGGGCAGTCTAGCAGCATGAGTGCCTGACGCCACATCACCCAGCAGGGGAGTTAACTCAGTCACATGTACGAGATTGGTCTCCCACAGTTCCCAGATTTTCTTTTTTTCCATCCTTTCCCTCTGTTCCTCCCTTCCTTTCTTTGTCTCCAATTCTGGGATTGAACACAGGACCTCAGATTGAATACTAAGGGAAGGACTCATATGACAATTCTCCCATCATGGCCCTGTTTATGTAAGTAATAAAGTTTTGAGACTATATGACCATGGATATGTTGTGAGGATGGGGAAAACATCATCAACTGAAAAAGTGCTGCAGATTTTGAGAAAAGAGTGGGAATGTTGATGAGAAACCATATAAAGTGCAGGGACAGAGAAAGTTGGACAGCCGTTGAAACATTGAACATTGCACACAATTGTAGAACTTTTTCCCTCTTGCTTAGAAATTCAAATATAGACTTGGAGATGATGGGTGGTTGGGTTAATAGAGTTGGGTAAAGCAAAGGACAATGGCCGGGACACTAACAATTATCAAAAATCTGCTGCTATCTGACCACAGCCCCCTTTTCAGTTTTCTGCTACTTTTACCTCTTCCCAATATAGTGGCTCTTGATCCCCAAATTCATAGTCCCTTTCTGCCACCTAACCTGTCCCTGGATCCCCAGGGACTTCAGTCACCCTCCAGCTAATAGTCTTGAGAAAATTAAATAATTAAAGTCATACGGCTGATAATTGGGGACCAAAATTTGAACTCAGGCCCATCTGATTTTTTTTTTTTGAACCGCTATCATAAGGATATAGCCCCTTTGGCAAACAAGGTGATATACCTTCACCCCCATCTAGTTTCATAAGAATTTGTTGCCCCTGAAGCTAGGAGAGCTGTCAGCAGGCCGACTTCAGCTCTCAGGCTTCAGCTTCACAGGTTGCCTTGCCCAAGACCATACCCCTTAGGTGTGGAGCCCTTATCCAGAGTGACTGATCAGTGGGGAAGCACAAAGGCCTGTGGCCTCTGCCCTTCTGGGAACTATTCTAAAGAGACATTCTAGTTCCAGAGCTCCCAGTGAGGTTGTCGTTGCCCCTGCAGCAGCTCACCATTTTCCTTCTCTGCCCTTCCAGCTTCTGCCCTCTTTCTCCCACAGGTGTTGATTCCCAGGCACTATGCACAGATAAACTGCATCTCAGAGTCAGTTTCCAGGGGAACCCAGGCTGTAACAGCTCAGCAAAGAAACAGCAGCCAGAATTTCCTGCCACAGAAGCTGTATTACTCCTCCCCTTCCCCAGAGACCCTCTCAAGGATTTTAGAGAAGTGTTTGTTAGGACCAGAAGAATCAGGGCCCTTTTACCTGGTTGATTACGCATGGATTTCAGGTACATAGGACTCAAAAGAGAGGGTTAATTTAGGGCTAAGTGAAATGGACCTGGATTTGTGATAGGGATACTCAGCTGTAAAGCCTTACTGACCTTCTTCTTCCCCCCCCCCCCCCCCCCCCAGTCATCCTTTTGAGCAGGAAGTCTGGGTTTGGCAACAATTCCAGCACTGAACAACTGCAGACAAGATCCCTGATGATATGTTTAGGCTCACATCTGATATACCATTGTGCAGTGATGTTAGTGATGGAAAAGTAAAAACATGACCTAGGCCAAAGCAAATGAATTATGCTGCTTTTATTTCAGGTTCATTTTCCCCATATGTTTTCTCAGAACAGTCAAAATATGTCAGGAAAAAACCCAAACCATTCATCAGAAAAACAATTTTTATTGGTTTGCCAATGTGATTAAATACTGTAGATATACTAATAAAAATGAAAAAAATCAATAATCGTACACTCCAAATAATGCAAGTTTCTCCACTCACATTTTAATTATTCCTTTAAGTCCATATAATCACTATAGAAAGCAACTAAATATATAATTCTGAATATATTTGTTAATAGTGGTTTGAAAATTTGTGGTACTYAGTTTTCAGTTAGACATCTATAGATTTCATCTGTACTAACTAACCACTTAATTAGAAGAAAATATGCAAAGTAATATCATTATGGAAATTTCAAAATGTTTAGCAGGGAGGATAATTAATGTTTATATGTTAAAATAGAATATATTTCATTTAATTGGAATATATGTTTCTAATCTAGTTAATACACTTGAGTCAGCAGCAATTTCAAGCCGTATGTTATCAATGATCACTCAGATAACTCTAAGTATATTATCTGTTACATTAAATAACCTTATTTAGGTAACTACTTTAAACATTTTTAGACTCAAGTACTTCTTAAAGTTTCCAGTTATTGATTTTTAAATCTTCTTTGTAGGCATAAGCCTCTCAGGAGGCCAAGCATAATCACGCCTCCTACCCAGTTGGTCTTTTTCTCTGATAACCACCCATGGCCACTGTACCAGCCTGTCAATAAGCATTTATGGAGAACCTGCTGTGGAGCTGAGGCCTGTACCAGGGCCTAGTAGCAAACACCATTAGAAACAAAAGATTAAGTTTGCCTAGAGGAGCTTACAACCAAATTGGTAGTTTTCATGAACATAAGGCAGCATGGATTTGATTAATTTCTTGTTCATCAACAGCAATGACAAAAATGTTTTTCTAGGAGTAGCATTGGCTTATGGGGTGGAGGAAGCTCTCATTAACTAATAATGAAAAGAAAAAGACAAAATTTATGTAAAATTTGGTAGGCTAGTCTCCAGAGGTTTGTTTATCCATAGATCAGATTTTATAACAGAAAGTATAGAAACAGGTCTCTTAATTATTCATACATTAATTTAAAATGTATCCTTATCTTTCATGTTTTAAGAGTAAAATGTCAGAACATTTTTGTGATTTCCTCTAACCAGTAAGACAGGAGGGAGATTCTTTGTGAGTATTTCCAACCAAGCCATATACAACAAATCCGATACAGATCCTTTTCTTGCCACTGGAAGGCTCCTGATAGCAGAAGAAAAATAAAAAACGAAAGTAAAAATTACTACAGATGGTAATATCATTAGTGTTTCTGAACTATTTAATAACCAGTAACCTGAAAATTTTATTATGTCCCCCCAATTTTTTCAACTGATATTTTTTAGATAACACAAATATCTATAAAGCAGTAAAACAGACATAGATGTTGAAAAAGACAAAATAAAAGTATAAATTTTCACTTTTCTTTGAAGAGAGAATTTGATCAACCCATACTCATCCCTGCCCTCTAGTGGACATTAGTTTCCTCCAATAGTTTAAAACATGTATTTGGGAGGTAGCTTAGAAACTAGCTATTGGAATTCTACCATCCAGTTCAGGAGGTCATTCTATAGTGTCTTGATCACTTGGATCATCCACCAATGTAGACCGTGCTTAAAGATGTTTGTTTTTATATCTAGGACTCAGTTCATGAGGTACTAATGAAATAGTTGGATGTTTCCCCATGTTTGGCTACCAATCTTTAATTAAATGAATTATTATTATTATTTAATTAAATGAATATTGTCAGTAGGCCCACTTCTGACATTTGTAAGACTGAAGGGTAAAGAGTGAAAAGGGGAAAAACTAACCATCTTTTTATTGCTGTGGCCTCTTGCCACACTGCAAGGGGACCATGAGTCTGCCATGGACACATGTGGTGGCTCCGAAACACCCACCCAGGGAAGATGCCTGAGCCCTGGTGGCCAACTTGTGGCTGTGGCCAGGGAATTCCAGAGCCTCAGGTTTCTAGAGCATAGTCCAGAAGGAAGCTTGTGTTCTAGGTGGGCATGTGCCCTGACCCCACAGGAGTAACATGACTGGCACAAAGTCTAAGCAAGGCCCTTTAAAGCCCGTGGATCTTAGTTGTTAGGGTCTCAGGGTGGCATGTATCCTCTTTTATTGTCCAAAATCCTACATGGTCCAACTTTTTTTCTTTTTTTTAAACTTCTTATCTGAAAAGTCATGAGCTTATAAATTGATCTATTAACTCATTTAACTTAAATCTTCTCTCTATCATTCTTTACTGCCCACAATGATACTTACAGGACAATGAGGTTGGCAGCTCTTGAGTGCTCCTGTAAAAGTTCATTCAGTCGAACTTGGCGGTAACTCTGTGGACAACATTCAAATTTTGTTGTGTGTAGTTCTAACAAAATTATGAATGAGAATTTATCTTCCTACCTTAAATCATAGATTAGCGAAAGCTTCGTTTTAAAAAAAGTTATTACAAATAGTTTATTAAAAATTTTAAATTTGATGTTTTAAAATTTCTTGAGAAATTTTAGAAACATAAAGAAAAAGACCAGAGTATCATTGTATTATAGTGGCTTATTAAGTTTTAGGGGGAAAAAAACAAACAGCATGGATAACAATCCAAAGAAGACAAGAATGGACAGTTTTGGGGAACATATTTTCAGCCAAAGAAAATTGATCGAAGCTTGTTACTGATTTGATATTTTAAGAAAATAGATTATTTCCTACTCTCTTTTTCTTTAAGTTCTCTGAATGTTTTATCAGCTCAGGGGGATGGTTTCAAATAAAACAAAATCACCAATAAACTCACTTGGACAACTATTTTGGGGTAATATTTATTTTTATATTTATTTTTATATTTTAGAACCTGAGCCTCAGACATGTGATATGACTGCTTTGGAACTGCCAGTTTTTTATTATTATTATGCAGAGTTTATGATTCTTGTTCAGTATTTCTTTCACTAAATCTGACAGACTTTTGGTATTTCTTTCTCTAAATTTTCCAAGCTCAGCTCCAAATACAGTTTATTCCGATTTTGTAGTTTAGAGATTCTTGTGGTTCATTTCCCTTAGTGTCCAATTCAGATATCAATTCTTCATTCTGAATCGATGTCCTTTTCATTATCCTCAATATCACCACCTTCACTCAGCTCAGGCCAGAAGAGAGTAACTTCTAGTAGGCTGTCTAGGAAAACTCACAGTTTCACATTGAAAGGAGCATCTGCCATAGACATGCTGGGACATGCTGGGACTCACTAGGTTGCCGGCCATAAGGAACAGCAGCCATTGAACTGCTTAGTCATGTCTGCTTGCAATTGATAAAGAGCTGTAAGGGGCACTAGCCATAGACATGCTAAGCAATGACTGGTTACAGTTGATAGGGAGCACAGCTCCATGGACACGCACAAAGAACATGCCCAGCTGCAATTACATCACCTCACTGGACATAACCAAGGGGCATTGACTTTCACTGGGTATAACCAATCACCAACATATACCACCAACTTGGAACTGTATTTAAATTGCTGGTCCTGCCACATTAGAGTTTTGCTCCAAGGACATCAGGGAGACTGACCGCCTTGCTGTCCATCCCTGACTCTACCATTCCCTGAYGTCCAGCCGTAGGCTGGAGAGAACCACCAGACAAGAACAACGTCTGCTCTTTGGCTAAGAGAAGTTGAGTGGCTTCAGAGGTATTTTGGGGCTCATAGTTGCCCTAGGATTGTGTGATTTGCTCATGGTGTTTAATTAGTGTGCATTAAGTGCTAGTTGGGGTGTTCCAGCACACTCAACACTTTTTGCATTAATTGTTTATATTTGATAATTGGTGTAATCGAATATACGCTTACATTTAAAGCCAATCCGCCTCTGAGTTAATTATTAATAGGGCTGCTTGCGACAACTTTCATTTTACGTTTGCCAGATCCAACATTTTGTTGTTCTAAACGCATCATAAATTTCCTTAGATACTTTTGTTAGTTTCTCACAGCTATCTTCATCAGGTTAAAATTCTTTGTCATTGTGTTGAAGTGTGGGCCAATTTACCTTAATCTGCACTGCATGAATATTATTTAAATTATTTCAGATTAATAATAATAAAGTTTGAAAGGAAACTTTACAAAATGTATCAATGACTTGTTTTTTTTTAACTTTTAAAAAATGTTACTTTCTAGAAAAAAATGAAAAGTTTTCTAAATCCTAATGTCCAGTAATGTAATTGAAAAACACCTGACAAATGCAGAAACCCTGGATCTTGAATAATGCCATTCAGTAATAGATACATTACTTCTTGATCTTTAAATCAATCACTGTTTCGGCTTTCGGCTAGTTAGATAGCAAAGTAAAAATTAAGGCAGACAAGTCCTTACCTTTTCCTTGACGGCATCCAGTTCTGCATCTGTAATTTTCCATGGAGTTTCTCTTTTTAATTTCTCAGCAGTTGTTAAATCTTTGCAGCTTTCATGGAGACGATATGGTTCAATCATCTCTTCAAAGACTTTCCAGCTGAAATTGGAATTGTAAAGGAGGCTTCACAGTGGGAAACTAACTCATTATTTCACAGATACTCCAGGTATGACTGGCTCGGCTGGCTGTGGAATCAGAGCTGAATGTCATGCAAATCTTTTACGAATTATCTTTGCAGGGAATTTACTGTGAGTAAAAGCGTGGTTATAGTGCTCCCTCCCTGCGCATGGATGGGATTTAATGTGTTTCAGGCCTTGTTAGCTTACTATGTATTAGATCTTCAGTATTAATGCACAAGCACATAGGAGTAATTGTTCTGCAAATACATTTTCTACATAATATAGTCAAAAACACAGTTGCACTGTAGACATTTTAGCCCATAAATAAGTTTCCATCCGCTTATCAGACAGGCTCCATGGGAGACATTAGTCCATTAATGAAGGAGATGAACGAATTAGGCTTTCTGGAAATCAGATAGGGCTGCCCTTACTTTTAGTCCACATGGCAACTCCCATTCATATGAGGAGGTTCTGGGAAGGTACAAGGAGAAGAACAAGGGCTCTCACAAGTTAAATGGTTCTAGAACAATTTGGATGTTTGCTGCAAATAATGCTGCGCTTGTCCTGGTGTTTGATGTTGCTGTCTGAGGTTTTTCAAATGAATATTATTCAGGGACATGTTAAGGGGGAGAACAACAATCAATAACATTTTAATGTCTACAAATCTGAGGCCTTTTTAGAGCATTTAAAAACAAATCATTGAGGAAAAGACGAGAAGCAGTGTCTAAGAGCTATAGAACATTTTTTAAATTGTGCAAAAAAAATCTCATTCTTGTCTTACATAAGAATCTCATAAAATTTATTTTTAAAACAATAGCACAATAAGCTTTACTTACAATTTATGGTAGCAGTTTCTTCAGTATGCTACTTAAAGATGATCTCATGTATGAATAATTTTCTTTGGTTTTATATAATGTCGCTTACTTATAATTTAGTAACAGTGGAATGAAGGATAATTAGAATCCATATGCTGTTAGGTTAAGAAGTTAAAATATGAAGTGATGAGTTTAATTATCTCATCAGTTGGCCTGATTTTGGATTTGCAGATAAAAGTACAGAGATGACAAAGGAGTAAAACCATCCCTGCTAGGGAGCTTTTGTTAAGGGACTGAAGAGATACTTAATGCAGTAGATTGCTATTGTATTGACTTATTTAGAAAGGTAGGTGAAGACAGGGAAGGAGTGAGACTGATGTGTCCTATTCTTCTTTCAACTGGAATACTTTTATTTGATATTATTTCCGAAAGTGTCATGCCCTTAGAGAGCGCCTTGGCAGTTGTCAGGGAAAGGGAAAGGTGGGGGCCTGGGAACACAGTTCTTGCTGGGCCTCTTTCATGATTATCCTTGGCCTGGACAAGCCTGCCTGTAGAAAGGGAATGACAGTGGCTATTTGGAGCTGTGTGACAGAGTGAGAATCTGAATGACAGTGCTCTGAGAAGCATACAGGGTTTTGTAAAAGAGAGGCATTCACTTTTCTAAACATCATCAAGATTAAGGCTAGCAATGGAAGTCCCTCTACATATCCTTATTTTGATCAGGATGAGAGTTTCTCTGCACCCCAGCCTAGATCCTAGAAAACACAGTAGAAAAATGATTTCCCAAGAAAAGATGAGATGGAAGTTGTGGTTGTCTCCTCAGCATTCATACTATGTTTTCCCATTGTAATTTGGATGGAAAGACTTCATCCCCAAGACCAACCAGCCCTGATACAATTCTATGCTTTCTGCCAAAGTGATTAGCCAACATAGACACCTAACTCAAGCAGACTTGAACCAACAGGAACCCAATGTTATGCAGACCACCACGAATGGCTCACTTACTTAGTTAGGCTGGTTCATCCTGAATGGAGCCCCATACCTGACTCTAACAACTAGGGAAGAGACAAACTTTCTTTCCTACTGAACATACATGAGCAAGTATGTAGTCCTGATAGCTACTGGCAGACATGGTTTTATAAGTTAAATCAACTTTGATGACTTCATAATGGAAGCTAGAATAGGAGACTGAAAGAGAATTAGTTCTTGATTACAAAATTTACCTTTTAGAACAAGATTAGCTTGAAAATAAAATTATACTTGTATTGTTTAGTCATGTATGACAATACTTTCTATCATCTAGGTCACTATGAGGTTTTCTTTTAATTGCAATTGAAAGGTGCCAAGTGACACAATAGGAAGGTATAGAGAGGTTGGATTTGCCTATTCCTGTTCTTTGAACTCCTACTGTTCCTTAACCATGTTTATCTTTCATTTCTTCATTCTCATGCTCATTCAAGAAGTGGCCATTTCCATTTTCCTTACTAGGTGATCCTGAGGTAACCCAAGATTTCTATTTTGATTCTCTATTTTGATTAAGTCTGATTTTCCATATAATGCTTTAATTAATTAAGCCATGTAGCATGTATTATTAAATATAAATGATAATTAATTCAATTTTTAAAAAATATTTATTTTTTAGTTGCACTTGGACACAATATCTTTATTTTATTTATTTTTATGTGGTGCTGAGGATCAAACCCAGAGCCTCATACATACTAGGCGAGCACTCTACCACTGAGCCACAACCCCAGCCCCTAATTCAATTTTTTGAATTAATGGAATTAATAGCTGTCCTATCTTCCCCATCCTTTCTCTCAAAAGGAAGTTTTAAAATTTTTCTATAAAACTTTCTCCTCAGTTCATGTAAGATTTCTTCTCTCAGAGTAATGTACTATACTTTTATTTATAACTACGCTAACATCTTTAAATTATCTAGTTAATTGCTTCTAGTTGCTCTTTGATTTTCACATACTGATTATTGTCTTTTTGGTCTATGATTTTTAATTCACTCTATACAATAAAAATTGAAATTTATCTGCAAGAGCTCCTCATTTTCTTCCACTCAATTATTTTCTTGTTAACTCTGCTTTTGTACTCTCTTTCACCCTTGGCCTACCATATTTATAGATAACGTGTCTATGACAAAATACCTCTGTCAAGACTTATTGATGTTTCATGGGTATTTGAAGGGTTTACTAATGGAAATTCTTGGCATTTAACATTAACCTCCAAAATGGAAATCATCGACACTCTTTTCCCCATTTTGTATCACCTGGTGACTAAGAAAGAATAGTGACCAGGGGATAGCTGTTGATGGTGGATAAGGGCTGCCTGGACAAGAAGGCCCATAAGAGGGATAAAAGTATGCCAAGCCTCAGCCCCTGGGCCTAGCTCTGTATCATCCCAGAAAAAGAGATCTCCTTCTCTATTTGTACCCAGAAGAGTTGCCTTATTTCAGTTAACATAATCGTGCCAAATGTGCTACCACAGGCCAAATGTGAGATATACCCAATGACTATTCTTTGTTCTAAATGGGGTTAGTCTCATATATTGGAATAGCCATTGTCAATATCAGATATGTGACTGTTTTATAAAGTAGTATGACATCAGTTATGGCAGAAGGCCAAAGAAAAGAGAATGGTTCTTCCAGCACCCCCTTCTGGTGGATGGCCTTTTACCCTTGATCTAGGGTACATTAACTGTAAGAATTCTTTTATTTCAGGAAGGATGGACTTTATTCCATTTATCTTTTTCATGACCTTGAAATAGGAGAGGAAAAATCTGCAAATTTTTGAACACAAATTCATTTGTGTCTTAAAAGTGGGAAGTGATTCTCTTCTTTATGGGATAATGAGGACATTGAAAAGCATCAAGTTAAAATGGTGTCTAAAATCAAATTTAGATGCCAAGACAAAAAGCAAAAATGATTGAGTACTTCATTTCTTCCCACTGCCCACAGAGTTTTACTCTCTGAGAAGAGGACAGCATGGGACAAAGCTCAGGATAGTAGGATTAAGAGTGCCCACACTTGGACAGGTACACAAAGAATGAAGAGACCTGGTTAGTGGAAGGAGTTCATCAACACTCCCAGTGGCTGACAGCTTAGAAAGGATGGTGATCATGGCAGCTGGACAGAGGCGAGTATGAAAGAAAGAGAAGGAAATAAGGACTTGGGTAGAGATAATCAGATTGATAGGTAAAGAGACAAAGGAATATAAGAACAATATAATCAGCAAGCAGGAATAGTCCTTAGCTATTAAGATAAACAACAGTAAAAAGAATTTGGCTATAAGAAGTAGGTTACTATTTGTACCACTCATTAAGCAAGGGCTTATAGAAAACCCCATGTTAGTAGGAGACACAGTGACCACCCTCCATACAACAGAAAAAGGCACCCTCTTGCAGAGCAGGAGGAGGTCTACCATGTCACTAAGTGGCACATGCTAAGTAACTGGTGGACTTGCTCTGTTATGAAAGAGAATGTGTTTCCACCAATTAGAGCCCTAAGATGAGCCTTTTGATCATATCACTGCAAATGTTAAGAGGCAATGACTTAGGATTTTAAAATTCTTCAAACAAAAGATGGAAGGCGACTAGAGAGTACTGTATAAAAATCCAGTTCTTATCAGAATCCTGATTCCATTTACCAAAGAGAATTATAAATGTGTTTCCAATTTTTCTTAAGTATTTATAACTGCAGAAATTAAGAATACAAGGCATTGGGGCTAGGGGTTGGGGCTCAATGGTAACATGCTTGCCTAGCATGCGTGAGGCACTGGGTTTAATTTTCAGCACCACGTACAAATAAATAAAATAAAAGTCCACCAACAACAACTAAAAAAATTTTTTAAAAAGAATAAAAGGCATTAGAAGTATATATAATGGAAGGAAACATTACAAATTAATAACCAAGTTAACCCTGTAAATTTTAGCTTTCTTATCACAGTTGAGGTATTTTGTAAAGCCATTTTAACTAACCCATAGCTCAAAGAATACAAAGTTCAAGTTCATCTAATTAATAAGATTTAAGATGAATATTTTAAGTTAATTATTAAGTTTATATGGGATAAAAATAAGCTAAAAAAAAGGAAGCGACAAGAAGACATGAGGACTATGACATTACAGTTCATCAAGAATTGTAAGAGGAAATATAAATGGTGGTCAACAGAAAAGAGAAAAAATACAAGAATAGTGAGACCCAAACCATTCTGAAACCTTCATGTCCACTTACTTTGGAAGCTCAACTCCACCCTAAATCAAGGGTATTAAACTGCATCTGAATGCAACAGCAAATATGATTTGGATTATAAATAATTGAAAACATTGTATAATTATCAAATTACAAATTGAAGGAGTTCATTTAACTTATAATTGGCTATCACTTCTGAACAATCCTTTTGCATTTTTGAGATCTCTGATGAGGATTTAACTAACCTACAAATTGTTTTCAAACATCATTGTTATGGGCTGAATGTGTTTCACCAAAATTCATAGTTTGAGACCCTGTCCCTGAGGATGATGGCATTTGGAGGTGGGACCTCTGGGAGGTTCTTAGGTTTAGATGAGGTCATGAGGGGTCATGAGGCCCCCATAATGGGATGAGTGTCCTTATAAGAGAAAGAGATCAAATTCTCTTTCTTTTCACTATTTGAGAAAATTGAGAGAAGTGGCCATCTACATAACAGAAAGCGGCCTTAATGGGAACTCAATTAATCAGAACCTTGATCTTGGATTTCTCAGCTTCCATAACTGTGAGAAATAAAACTGTGTTGTTTAATCCATACCTGTGGTATTTTGTCAAAACCACCTGAGATAACACAATAACAGAGCTGATAAATTTGACAACTAATAAAGTGTTAAAATGATGTCATGTTTTGAAAATATTTAAATGATTGTTTCAATATTTTCATTTTTTTTKAATTTTGGAGCTAATACATTTCCTTTTCATGCTTTAATTTTATAGTTCCCTTCCCTCCATCCCTCCATAAAGATCAGAGGCCCTAAGCATTGAACCTTTAATCCTAAAAGCTCAAATGGCCCTTGAGGGTCCATTGTGCCAAAGAAACGGTAACTACTCCATCAGCACTTCTCATCCAAGAGGCCCCATCAGTAACTTTAAATAAAGAAACACCTTAACTGCTCAGGTCAGAAGAGTACAACGTTCTGCTTCCTGTCACTTTTGCCAGCTTATAAACCAAGAGCAGGAAGGACAATTCCAAATCACTGACTGACCTGTATTTCAATAATTCTCCCGTCAGGCTCACCTTCATCATAAAACCTTTCTTCCCATTAGAATGTACTTGATAGTTCTGTCATGATTATTTGAAGGCCCTTCTTTTATATATCCTATTGAGAATTCACTGCAGTAAACGGGTAACATTTTTACCTTTTGATAATCAACACACAAGAAGAGTGAGAGAGTACCACGGATAATCAATGGATCCTGTTAAATGTTTCATACCTCTCTTTGTTTGGCTTAATGTTGATGTCACCAATGATATGGATGTCTGCAAATTTTATCCTAAATTTGCTCAGAAGAGAAGCCATTCTGAAAACATAAGAGAAAAACACTTCATCGTTGCATATTTAACTATTTTCAATCAAAGAGTTTTTGTGTTTGAGTTAAGATATCAAAAGCAATCATGTCATATTTCGGCTTAGCTGTCCAAGGCTTTTGGGGTTTGATTTTCACTTCAGTACTTTTTGAGCATGTTAAGTGTAGACCAAGCTATTCCACTGAAGGCAGACAGAAACTCTAGCAGGTGCAGACACTGAGACACTGGAAAGAGCAAGTCCAGCTTTGTATTCATCTTTTAGGGAAAATAATGCAAATCTGTTCATATGCCCTAATTATTTGAAATAAAGACAGCAAATCTGAATACTTATTAACCACTATTGCTGGTAATTAATATAGGAGTTACTGACAAACCAATAATTATCACGTTAAATAGTTATATACTGGTGGTTTTCTCTCAGAAAACTGATAATTTTGATATGATTTTAAAGTTACAAAAATGTTGTAAGGATAGTTCAGAGAACTTCCAGATTTTATTTATATTCAAGCCCCATTTGATTTGTCATCCTTTTCCCTCCCTTCCTTCTCTCCTTCCTTCCTTCCTTCCTTCCTTCCTTCCTTCCTTCCTTTTCATTTATCTGCTATTTTAGAATAATTTCAAACCATCAGCCACATCACCAGCCCTTTTTATTTTTTAATTTGAGACAAGGTCTTGCTAAGTTGCTTTGGGCTTCCCTAAATTGCTGAGGCTGGCTTTGAACCTGTGATCCTCCCACCTCCGCCTCCCTAGCCAGAGTACAATTTTTGAGGGGGGTTCCAGGAAGTGAACCCAGAGGCACTCAAACATTGAGCCACATCCCCAGCCCTATTTTGTATTTTATCTAGAGACAGGGTCTCACTGAGTTGCTTAGTTCCTTACTTTTTGCTGAGGTTGGCTTTGAACTCGAAATCCTCCTGCCCCAGTCTCCTGAGCCATTGGTAGTACAGGCATGTGCCACTGCGCCCAGYCAGAGTATAAGTTTTCAACCTTAAAAATGTAATAACTTTTTAATCCTCAAACCATCTTCAAATTTTATCAATCGTCCCAGTAAGGTACTAGAAGTTTTAAGAAATGTAAATTATTATAGACATATTAGTTTCCATTTTAACATGACTTTGTAAGAAAAATTAAATATGTGATATTAATGTACATTGTTTTAATTGAAAATAAATATATTAATATATTTATATACTCACTAATATATGAATGCATATGCATATCATAATTTACACCCTTTTAAAAAGGAGAAGAAAATATGAAAATTACTGTATAAATGTCCTGTCATTATTTTGTGAGTTCTGGAAGTCCCAGGGCCCAGGACTCAAACATGCCATGAAGGACCAAAAGCTGCTGAAGATGATGCTCAAGATTTCCACTAGAGGTCCCATGTTCCAGGCAAGATGGTTCTCACAACTACGCATCAGCTCTCAGTTGCTAAATTACTGAAAATATACAGATAGACACTGTGGGAATTTTTCTTTTCTTTTTTAACTAGGAGGATTCTCAACAGTCATCCATTAAACTTTTTCAAACTATAAACAAGAAACTGGGACACAGATAATGTTTAGTGACTGTTGCAAAGTCCTGCAATTCCTTGGTAGAGGGCTGGGGCTAGGACCCATGTGTATGTTTTCAATTTAGTTCTCTTTTAAGTTTTTAGTTCTCTTACTGTTTTAAGACTGGTTGCCATGAATTAGTAGGTTTGAATTCTTCCATAAGAAACACCTGCACATACATTCTTTTAGAATTTCCCTTTTTTTTTAGCAGGGTGTGGTGGCACACTCTATAGTACCAGCAACTCAGGAGGCCCAGGCAGGAATATTGAAAGTTCAAAGTTACCCTCAGCAATTCAGTGAGACCCTGAGTAAATTAGTGAGACCCTGTCTCAAAATTAAAAATGAAAAGGGACTGCAGAATTTGCTAAGTGGCAAAGTGCCTTTGGGTTCAATCCCCAGTACCACATAAAATTTCTTGAATGCACTTACTAGTCAGAACAAAATACTCATTCAAGATAGTGACACTCCCAAATTCCCTTTGGAGGCATTTGTGGCAGGGCATAAGAGGACTTGAAGACAGTAATTAGAAAAATTATGCAAATAATTTATTGGCCAAAAAATCAAACATGAGGCCTATCATGATGGCTTTGTTTTTAAATCTATTATGCCTCAAGCATACTTAAAGCTCTTAAAATTAAAGAATTAACAGATAAATATCTGAAAGGACCAAACATGTGAGCGGTAAACTACTTACGCAATTTTTTCTTCCTCAATGCGATTGATCTTCCCTCCAACGTAGATTCTTAATTTACAGTCTTTCCATTTTTTTCGGAGAGTCAAGATGTAGGGGATAAGAAGTGTTAACCCTGGAATAAAGAATAAATTATGATGGAAAGGTATATCTAATGATATAGCTCTTAAGTAATTTACAACCTCTGAGAACTCAAAACTGTTACTTTAACAGGAACCATTTTCATATATCTTCCCATCAGTTTGTTAAATTTTTTGAGAAAGGAATTCTGCTCCCTAGGGAAGTTTTTACCTCCATCATCAAACAACCACCAGACGTCCATTGTGCCTTTCCCTTGTTTCTTTTTAAATTGACTGCTGGCTTCCACCAGTTTCTGGTTGAACTCCCCCACATGCATCGACTGGATTGTGTTAATGCTGCTGTCTGGAATGAAAGAGAGAGTGGTGTCTTTTGAGGACACAAACAAAATAACCCATAAATAAACCTATTGATGAAAATAGAGGAGAGGTCACAAATTTTTGKTTTTTTTATACTTATAGATAAATTGTGAATTCTATTTTCCAAGGAGTACAGAAAAAGTTGAATCCCACAATTTAAATCACTTTAAATAGTAAAATATAAAGTTGATATTGGTTTTATGATTATAATTTTCATGGGCTGGGGATATAGCTCAGTTGGCAAAGTGCTTACCTTGCATGCACAAGGCCCTGAGTTCAATCCCCAGCACCACCAAAAGCAAAACAAATTATTATAATTTTCATTATGAAGCAGGGGGTTATTTTCAGACCCTTAGAATCTATCTCAGAGTRAAATGATGATTTAGATATGTATCAATGCTAAATAATTTGATACAGTAGCCAAACTATCCCAACTTTGCTAAATCAATCTACTAAATAATATTTTCAAATTTACTTGAAAGTAGAACATGTGGTGATTGGGTGTTCTAAAAATATGCACCAGCATCAGAAATATTCGTTTGTTGGAGAATTCATTCATTTAAGCAGTTTTGATGATTCCATGAGGTTCTGGATTATAAGGTTTGCCAGGGATGATGTGACTCTTAAACTCTTTATTTGGTTCCATGGTTGGCTTGGTTCACTCTTCTGTGTTCTTTTCAAGGAGTCTTGTGAAGCTAAGGTAAAGTCACTTGAGTTATTTGAATCTTTGTCAATGAGATGAAAAAAAGGCAGGAAACATGGAAAGAAAATATAGCCTTACTTGAGTTACATTTAAGGGTACATATACTTAAAACAATTTTGAAATACAATTTCTGTCCTAACGTGGATACGGTGAATGTGTGCCAGAGACCAAGATCGGTGTTTTAGCAGGACATTTGTTCCTATCTGGTAGTAGGGGTTTCTTGGCCATGCTGTATATACTATTTCTCATTTCCTTGTATTTGAAATTGTGACTTCATTGTTCCATTTCAAAGAGGGGGAGAGGTGGTGTCAGTGTAGTGTTTAGCATAGACCTGACAGCCTCCTCAGAGCTTCCTCCAGGATCTAAGAGGTTCTGAAAATGCTTTGTTCTGTCTTTCTGTTTCCATGTTTTGGACCTGTCAGTTCTGAAGCAATTATCTTATATTGTTTCTATATCCCTAGGACTGCTGAGGCAGAAAGTAAATTTATTTGCAGAATGGACCAAACTCTGCCCTCTCTTACATACAAATCAAAGCATCTGCAGGAGTCATTATGAGTACCCAGAGGCAAGCCTGGTCTTGATCTAGAACTCCAAAGATTTGTCAGCCAGCTAAAGCCCAGAGTAATGAATGGGCCCACTTGAGAGCTGCGTTTGAACTTTCAGGTATTGAAAGTAGTGCATAACATTATGATTTTGCTTTTCTGAACACTGAGACATGTTGATTTTCAGCAGAGTACATTTTTTTTTTTTTTTGGCCAAAACAAGTATTATGATGTAGAAACAGGCTTCCAGAGTAAATAACAGGTTCTGCTTTCATTAATGAGGACATCGACACTACTCGCTCAGGATTATAAAGGGGACAGTATTGGCTCTGATGTCTGAATTTTCCATTGCTTTTCCAGACTACACCACTTAATAGAGCATATTTAAAGGGTAATTTACTTTTGTCACCAACAAATCAAATAGTAGAAAAGAAAGATGGGCACAGTGCTATACACCTGTGATCCCAGTAGTTCAGGAGCTGAARCAGGAATATCATGAGTTCAAAGCCAGTCTCAAAAACTTAGTGAGGCCCTAACCAACTCAGTGAGACTTTACCTTTAAATAAAATATAAAAAGGGCTGGGATGTGGCTCAATGGTTGAGCGCCCCTGGGTTCAATCCCTGGTAAAAAAAAAAAAAAAAAAAAAAAAAAAAAAAAAAAAAAGAAAAGGAAAGGAAAGGAAAGAAAATAGTACTAGTTACCATTCAATAAAAGTCTTATTCTAATTTTTTGCACCCTGAAAGTCCTAATGAACTCCAACGTTGGACTCAAACACATTGTTTTTGTGAAAAATGTCATTTAAAGGTGTGTGTAATAAGTAGCAAGTGCTTCCATATCCCTGGGATATCCCAGGAATCCAAGAGTTCCTCTAGTATTTGAGGAGGGGTTATATTTATATTTTGCATCATTTTCTGTAAACATATAAAAATGTTATATTACAGATGAAGTTTCATCCTTGGGCTATAATAGGAAAACAAGCAAATAGAACCAAACCATTTACAGGATTGAAGGTGGCCTGACTTTGAAGRGTTGGCTATTTTCAATCTGAACCAGAGCCTGCTAAGTCTCAATTTGAATCCTGCTATTTGACTTGGAGATACTCCCAGAGAGATATTTGTGAATAAAGRAAGGCATGTTAAATTCTGATTTTCTACCAGCAGAGGTCACTGTGGACCTCATTAAACTCAAACCTGCAATGTTTTGGAGAGCAAACTATTTTCAAAAGAATTAGACTTTTGAATCACATATTTGTAACAATCTCACTCATCCTTTGGTCCTCTGTCCCTGTGACACAAACCAGACATTCAGAGATAAATTTGCCACTCATCCAAAATCTACAGATAGTAACCAGTATCAGTGAAGTTCTAAGTGTATGGTCATAATTTGTGATAAAATTGTCTCTTTTGAAATTAGGGTTTTAGGTAGGTCCTTCACTTACCTGTATAAGCCAACTTTAATTCCACTGAAATATCTACAATGTAAGGTGAATATATATAAAATAGTTTGGGTATTGGTTCTTAAATTTCTATACCCTTTCCATCTCAATTAAGACATTTCTATTTTAAGTTACTCAATTTGCTTAAGTACTATTTAATTCCAAGACCAAATATTACTATTTTTAAATAATTTCTTTGCAGCAAGATTATACAAATTACTTAGTGATGTTGATAAATGACAGTGGCTTCTACCTTTTATCCSTGCTACCTTCTTGAAAGAAATCTTTGAATTCTTCCCTATATTCAATGCCATGCAAGTTTTAGAATCAGATTTCTGACTCTTTACAGATGCTCAAATAATGGTTCATCTCAAAATCTTGTAAATTATTAAAAGAACTTACCTTTTTTAGGGGTTGGCTTAGTAATGTTCAACTTGCCAGCTTTTTTAAACAAGCCTCGGATACCCCCACTTCCTTCTTCACACTCATTGTCTTTGATAGTGGCCTCCAGTGCCAGCCTCTCCTGTTCCAACTTCTCTAATTCATCTGATGATAAAGGAGGCAGAATCAGCTACTTAACTCACAGTAACAAAGTTTCTAGGAACAATCCTATAACCATCGTTAGTATTTCAAATGGCATATCAATAATAAAATGATTATTCATTCACACAACTATGATTTTTTCTGAAGGATTACTAAAAAGTAGTATATTCCAATAAATTGTATTCATAAAGTAATATCAACTGGCTCAGGAAAAATAGCCCCATATATTAAGCTATAATACATAAAGTCATTGGGTTTTTATTTGGAGGTATAAGAGAGACAATTTAATATCCTTCTGCCTGGCATGGTGGCACATACCTATAATCCCAGCAACACAAGAGGCTGAGGCAGAAAGATTGCAAGTTTGAGGCCAGCCTCCATAACTTAGTGAGGCCCTAAGCAACTTAGAAAGACCYTGTCCCAAAATAAAAAAATAAATGGGCTGGAGATGTGGCTGAGTGGCAAAGTGTCCCTGGGTTCAATAACCAGTGCAAAAGAAAAAAAAATCTGTCTATCTATATAGATATTAAGGTCCTCCTTATTTACCGCCTTCTAAAAACAAACMACCCAATCCACTCTGTATAAGATCTACTATACTGTAAGCCACTGATTTACTGACCTAAGCTACTGGGCCAGATGTTTTACAACTGAAAGTGACAGAATTGCAGAAGTCCACTGGGTATATGACAGGTATCTAACAATGCCATCTGAATTGAAACACAAAAACTGGAGACCAAGAGTTAACATAAGATAATCAAATCTCATAATAAACCTCTATGACCTTTGAATACAAATTGCAGTGAAAAACATCCAGCACCAATTGCTTCTGTTAAGTAAAATGCTTTGTGGAATAGGTGACCAAAGTCATAACAATAAAAGCGGAGGTTTCTCTGTGCCTGTCAAGAGTTCAGACGCTGGAGTCTGAAACAAGAGTCAAGCTGTGCAAAATTTCCTGCCCAAGGTTTCGGCCCACTCTCCAAGCTTTGATGTTGTGTCTGGCTGCCTTTTATCTTTATTGGATTCTGATTGAAATGAAAAATTCCTCACTGGTATGTAATACAGTCGAATCCCTCTTTGACCTCAACCTGCCCTGGACCAAGGTAAATGCGATTTTAAAAGCACTCATGTGACAGTGCTAAACAGAGGACGCTTCTTGCTTACACCGGGCAAGGTGGCACTCTTGTCAGATCTCCTCTTCTTATTGCCTGCTGAGAACAGAGACTTAGAAAATGAGCAATGATGCTCCAAGGGAAGGGGTAGAAAACCTAGATTCCGTGTTACAAAACACTGGTAGGGCTTCTGTAAATGTCAACCCTCAGAGCCTGGTGCCTTATCTATCTTGTGAAGCGAAGCTATACAAACTCTAGATTTATCAATTATGTACTAACTAAATCTGTCAGGGACAGTCACATCCCTAGACGATGCTGTTATTCAGCTACACAGAATTGTCTGGCCCCTTTCCAGGTCTTAGCAATTAATCTTTTGCCAGTGGCACGAGATTTAAGGTCAAATCGCCCATGTGATTTCCCCGAAGCTTCAAAGGTTCTCAAGACCAGCAGCTAGAGAAAACCTGGGAAATTAGGCTGATGGTATTAGAGCACAGACAAGAGTTGCTTACCCCTGATGTTGAAAGGTGAAGGCAAGCTGCACTGCAGAGGGGGTCGTGACCCATAATGGTTTTGCAGCTGGCTTTACGTGACATTAGTTAAGTCATTTACTTTTTCTATGCCTCAGATTTTCTATAGGTGAAATGGAAAATTGTAACCCTTTCTCACCCTATTAGTTTTGCAAAAAAGAATAAACTACTGTTTTTGCATAGCACTTTGGTGCTTCTTAAARACCAGAGCAATAGCTATATCCTATTGTATATTTATGCAACTTCTGGAAATGACCCTATTCGAGCAAAGCAAAMGGAGTATTTTCAAAAGCCTGGGAGTTAAGAGCTACTATTCATTATACRCTTTGGGGGGTAACAGGGACTGTGTTGAATTTTATTCCTTCCCAAACAACTCAGAGAGAGTTACTATTATTATCCTCATTTTGTAGATGAAGCCACTGAGGCTCACAAAGGTAAAGTAACTCATCTGACATCACCTAGCACATTATAGTGTTCAAAGGCAAAGAGATCAGCTTGACTTCGAATCTATGCTTCCCACCATGATGACCTTCTTGTGGCTAACTACTAGTACTTCACAGTTGTTTGGTTAACTTCCCCCTCTTCATCATTAGATGAACTTAAAACACTTTCAGGAGCAGAGTATAATGCCAAGCTAATCACCCAAAATGAGAACCCTTCAAACATGTCATTTTAAAAGGAGRACTCTACAGATGTGGATATATATATAGGAAACTGCCCCAGAGCAGCAGCATCTGCAGTCAGACTTTGCTGTCACTGCTCTGACCGCACCCTAGCTGCTATCCAGCCTTCTAGGATATTGCAGGGGCCCAGCTCAGGGTGGTGGGGGTAACCTTTCTGCAATCCTCTGGAAGGTACTTATTTATGAGCTTCTTTAGGGGCAACTGTAAGGGCTACCCTGGGGAGGGAGTTCTCTTTTCTTTTTCTGGCTGGCTCTAGCATACCCTGTGATTAGCCACTAATTGCCATGCTCTTTGTCCTCTAGTTTGGACAAAGAAGGAAAAAAGATAAATCCTCTTTTGTAAAGGAGTCAGCTGGCTGAGCAAACTGGGAGCTGCTCCAATAGTTTGCTTGAAGGTATGTCCACAGCCCATCCAGAGCAAACGGAAAGATCCCAGGCCTGAGCAACAAAAGCAAATTTTGCTTCAATGCTTTAGATTCAACAGTTCTCTCAAAGGCTGTAGAGACAGGGGCTGACAGACAAAGTCTACTGTAGAATCTGAAATGACTTGCTTTGCCATCTTGGATTTTCAGATCTACACGGTGGTGTGATTCCCACTTGCACAGTGATTCTGCAAGTTCTTATTAGAGTTAATTCTTAATTATTCACTTTGTAGATGATCTAAGGCCTCCTTCTGTGCACTTCCCACTTTTTTCACATTTCAGCGCTAAATMGAAGTGATGTTTTGATTATCTGTTCTTCTGAATTATCTATCTGGTGTAATTTATACCTCTGTTTGTATGGGAAATCAAGAGTAGACTTTGTCAAAAATGTTTCTTTCAACAGGAATGCTGGCCAGTTGACTCACAAAATATACCCTTAATCATGTGGAGAGCAAGCCAAGGGGTAATGAATASACAGATTATAAATTGATTTCCACTAGGCTGACAAAGATTATTTATTCCATTACTACAACCCTCCCCCATCACTACTGCATTTTAATGTTCACAAATTATAGAGCATTTTCCACCTAGTGTCTCATTTGATACCTATGCTGGGGTACAGGCAGAGCTGGTGTTAGTCTCTCCGTTCTGCTAAAAAGGCAACATGAGCTCAGAGAGTTCAAGTGATTTGTTCAAGGCTGCACAGCTAGTTAACCAAGCCTTGTGCTTCCAATTTTAGTGTGTACCCCTCTTTACTTTCTTCTTCATTGGTAGGCCCTGACCAAACATCTGCTTGTCCTTCTCTCTTTTCAAGATTTTAAGAGAATATCTGAGGTAACAATGGTGGAAGCAAAACTTACATCTTAATGGTCTCTGGGTCCAGAGTCCATTGCTAACCAGTTTCTTAAATTCAATTCTCAGAGATAACAAAGAGTGACTCCTGAGCCCTGTCTTGATGCAAATGCCCAAACTGCTTTGAACAGTAGTTACTATATTTTTCAAGTGCTTCATAAATTGATTGTATGATAACCAGTTGGAGTGCCTATATTTTGAAAGTCAATTTCCTTGTCAAAATTGCCTCAAAATGCTCTATCAGTCTTTTGGTTTTTTAATTTTTTTTTTAAAAGATGTCTTTTAGAAATGGGCAGCGGCCTCAAATTACCATCTGCTTTAAATCTTAAGGACAGAGAGCAGTCAATTATCTGACAACAGAAGGTAGAGCAGAGAAACCCACTGGGGAATCATATCCTCTCCCACTTTACAGCATCCTTTCTCTTTATTAATTATTAAACCATGATTCTTTCCTTGGTCAATCAACTCAAAGCCATAAATGCCCATATGAATCAACGGGCYGAACCCCAGGTGAAGTCTAGTTGAATTGAAGGCAGGAAGCAATCCTGCAGTGGTCGCCTTCCAATCAAGTAATTATTTACTACACTGCCATCTGTCTTTATTTTGCTAAGCCACTTGATCAGACACAGCAGTATCACCATGCTCTGAGATGGTCATAAATCGTGCAGTACTTACACAGAATACTTGACCACAACATATTGCAAATCACGTTTCATCACTTCATTTCCTATCAGTACAATTTGGACTCTTTGTTGTAATTGGCAAACTTGCTAAATACCCCTGGGAAGTGAATAATATGAAATGCTGCATTTTTTGTGTGTTGTCAGGAAATGAATTCATTTATTAAGAGAAACTATCAGTCATCAATATCAGGGGAGATGCAGCTGTGTACAAGTTAGAATGTTATGTGCACTGATCTTATTTATATGAAAAGTTATCCTTTTCATATAATCCTGTGACACSGCATAGAAATAATTGTCATTAGTGGGTAAATTACCTATAAAGCTGATTTCTATTCACTGCTTTATTAACTACAGTATATGGGCGCTCTGCATTGCTAATATTTCCTTTAAATTATAATCTGTGATGACACTGTTGTGCCTGCATTGGAAAAGCTATGATGATAATCATTAACATAGTATAATGCAATACTTAAGATTTATCAGGCTCTTATTAAGCCCTACATTACAGCATAATATAATGAAACACAAGCTTATTTCTTCCAGTTCAAAATCTAAAATGAGATTTGGGTCATAAATTGCACAAACTTCAAAATAACACATGGAACTGCAGTGTGGAGTTAATTTCTATCATTATTCTGTTGTTTTTCCTCATGTTCTTCATTTATTTGTGTAACATTGCTTTTTCTTTTGTTTACCCTCAATAGTTGTTACTTATAATTATTTTATTAGCATCTGACTGTATTTTCCCTTTCTTGACTAAGAAGCAGAAATATTTCAAACATCAAAGTTGATTTAAATAGGATACTTCCCTTGGGAAATAAAAATGGGATGCAGTTCACTGCCAGGGTTCTTTAAGAAATGCCACAAAATTTGGTGGCTATGTTGCATTATGGAAATAAATTGACGGTATATTTTGGTGAACGGAGCAATGAGGGGTGGGAGTAATATTTGTCAGCTACATTGCATCTTTCACTTTGAAGAAATCAATATGATATTCAAAGCAAATGTGCAATCTAACTACAAATAGTTTGTTTTTCATTCTTATTTTTTAGGTGGAAAAGCATTATAGCACAAAAGCCAGAAAAAAATTAAAATAAAAACTAGGGAGGTGGTAACAGAGCAGGTTTCTGAATATTAGATTATGTTATCACCCTCCAAGTCAGTTCTGTCTTACCAGAGACAGGCAGCCCTCATGGTGGACGTTTGAAGGATACATGAAGACAGTCTTGCCCTATGCCCACATCTCAGATATCACCATGGCCTTTCATTACGGAAGTCATCACTATCTCTAGCTCTCTTTCTTAAAAGGTAGAATAGCAGCTTCAAACAGACAAAGGTCTGGTTTCCAGGTTTACGCACAAATCTGCAAATCTCATCATCAACGCTCACTTCCTTTGCTCCAATTTTAGATGAAGCATTTTTCTTTGTTCCTCAGACCAACTCTTCTCTTCATGCCTTTCTCTTGATTACCTCTTTCTCTTGAATCTGACTCCATGAGTTGTCCATTTCTCCCCTCTATCTTTAATCTCTGTCACTCTCTGGTGCCCATTTCTACCGTCTGGACACATGCTAGGTCTCCCGCTTTAAGGTCTATAGATCTCCCATAACAAACCACCTCAATCTCATTCCCCCCCTTACATCCTACCTTCTCAAAATGTTTGGCTGCAGTCGTAATTCTCTGTTTAGTTATCTTATAGTCTCTCCTCCACCCACTGTGAACCGGGTGCTGACAGTATTTCTCTAGAGAAGCTGCTCCCTCTGTCCTCTCCTCCCCTGCTTCTTCTTTGGGGCCCTTTTCATATGCCTTGGAGCTCTCAAATACACACACTCTGGGCTCTATTTTTCAGAGTTATGGTTTCAATATCCACCTTTTCTACAATGTCCCATTAGTTAATTTGCTAGAACTGCTATTAAAAAATAACAAATATTGGGTGATTTAAACAATCGAAATTAATTTTCTCGTAGTTTTGGAAGGTAGAATTCCAAGATCAAGGTGTCCACAGAGATGATTTCTCTCTGAGCACTTTGCCTGGCTTGAAGGTAAGGACATAGTGACCCTTACGTTTGTCTCCTGCACTCTTTTTATAAGGACCCTAGTAATACTGAATTAGGGCCTACTAACATGACCTTGTTTTACCTTAATAACATCTTTAAAAAACCCTATCTCTAAACAGAGTCTCATCCTGAAGTACTACGGTTAGAACTTCTACATGAATTTGGTGGTAGGGGGCTGGGCCTGGGACACAATTTAGTCAGTAACATTTGAAATCTGTATTTTAGGCTCAGTTTATTTCTTTGAGACTGGGACTATTAACTGCCCAGTGGACACTTGCAGCAGGTTTTCCCATAGGATACTGTCTGAAATTGCACCAGGTATCTCATTAACCCTGTGTTCCCCATCTTGTGTTCCCCATCTCTATCGGTAGTCCCACCACTCACTCACTCAGCCAAGGACTTTTTCTTCCCTCCTCCCTTTCCTGTTTCCTACACATCCAATCAATTCCTCATGTTGCTCTTCTTCACTCTGAAATATTTCTCAATTTTGTCCTTTTCTCTCCATCTCTATGGAGGCATCTGTAGTTCAAGCTGTTGCCTTGTCTGTTTTGGTCTGGATGTGAGTTCTCCTCCAAAAGTTCACGTGTGAAACAATGCAAGAAAGTTCAGAGAAGAAATGACTGGAGTACTAGAGCCTTAACCCAATCAGTKAATTAATCCCCCTGATGGGATTAACTGAGTGGTGACTGGAGGTAGATGTGGTGTGGCTGGAGGGGGTGGATCATTGGAGGCATGGCTTTGGACTATATATTTGTATTTGGAAAATGGAGATCTCTTCCTCTGCTCTCTGATCATCATGTGAGCTGTGTCCCTCCACCATTTCTTCTGCCAGGTTTTTCTGCCTCACATAGAGCCCTGAGGAATTGAATTGACCTTCTATGGACTGAGACCTCTGAAACTGTGAGCCCTCAAATAAACTTTTTCTCCTCTACAATTGTTCTGGTGGGTCTTTAGTCATAGCAGCAAAAGAGCTGACTAAAACATTCTCTCACTTTGATTATTGCAGAAATCATTTTTATACGTCTCTCTGTTTCTGTTCTAATCCTCTTTGAATCATGTGCCATATAACTGAAAGACTATGAACTCTAACCCATGTTGGACCATATTACTCCCTTCCTTAAATCTCTTTGAGGGTCCTCATTATCTAYAGAATATGGCCCACATTTTTTAAGATGACGAATGAAGCTTTTAAAGTCTGGATCCTCTTTATGGGGGGCAGCCTCATATTTCATTATTGCCTACTTCATATACTTTTCACTTCAGTAACACAAATCTGTCTCTGGTTGCCCATGTATCCCATTCTGCCGTACTCTCATGTCTAACCTTTACTGATGCTCTCCTATTTGCCAAGAATGCTGTTCCCAAACCCTCTCTTTGTTTTTCTCTCCCTCAACATTGCCTAATTATCTCTGACTCAACCTGTAATTCTCAAATCAAACATCTTCCTTTCAGCCTTTCAGGGGTTAACTCCCACCCTCCTTAATGCTTTATTTGTACCTATTATCCATTACCCTTATTAGGATGTGAGTCTCCTGGGGGTACAGACCAAGTTATTAATCTACCCAGCATCTTCACCTACAGTATGCCTACCACATAATACATACCCCAAAATATCCCCATATCTTTGTGTCATATMATCAGTGGGCTCTATTTTAAAGTTCAGTTGAAGAGATGAATTCATGATCTGTCCTAATTTTTTAGTAATTCTTTGAATATGTTCTTTATTTCAAACACAAAGAGGGTATGTTTAAAATCTGAGACTAAACAAGTATACCAAATTCTCTACAGGGAAAAAATAGTCACTAATCTGAATTAGTGTTTCTGCCTCGGACTTAGATTAGTGATTCACAGCATGATACATTCAGACTCATTTCCATGTTAGCTACACACCAGTTCATAGACTCTTAAAAGGAAAATATATGTTTTTCTGAGGAAGGAATTAATCTTCATTTTCTAAAACATCTTGCAGAAATTAATTTGGCAGGCTATTTTACTGAAGGTGCTATTTTCCTTGATGCTGGCTTTGTGGTTTTGTGATTTAAAAAAATTGATGACTACCCTAAATTATCCTACATTTATGATTAACAGGGCAAAGGCCACTTGTGTTAAAAGTGGGAAAAACACTGGGGAAGTGTGCACACATGAATCAGCCCAGAATTGAAGCCTGGGATTTTGTCCATATTGTGTACTGTTCTTTCCCCACCACCTAGAACAATGTCAGGCGCATAGTAGGTGCTTACTAAATATTTGTTGATTGAATAAAGAAGGTAGATACATACCTTGCACCTGAAGAACCTGAGAGATGTCAAACCCTTGGCTGATTCTGACTATGACCACACCAATCTCAAAGTCAAACGCATCACTGAAAGAAGAAGCAAAGTTGTTAGTGTTTTAAATGGCTCCTCTAATATTCAAGCTTTGGAATATTATTAAACTTGCATYTTAGCTGGGTGGTAGTTCACGGTAACTGCAGGTAATCTCAGGGGCTTGGGAGGGTGTGGCAGGAGGATTGCAAGTTCAAAGCCAGTCTCAGCAACTCAGTGAGACCTTGTCTCAAAAAATAAACAAGGGCTGAGGGTGTGGCTCCGTGGTTAAGTGCCCTTGAACTCAATTCCTGGTACCAAACAAACAAACAAACATAAACAATCCCTTGCTTCTAGGATTTTGATATCATGAAACCATCAAAATTCACTTTAGAATTCAGCCAAAAGCTGATGCTTCTTCTCTTTGTTTATTCTCCTCTTCTACTTTTAAAAAATACATTCTGGGTACGGTAACCAATTAACTCTGCAGCCAACTCAAATAGTATTAGTAACTAGAATTTTGCATAAGAGTCTGTCGCATACTTTTAATATAAGTAAATCTTTTATAAAGTGAGCAAAACAATCACTGATATATTTAGAACAGAGTGTTTACTGGTTGCAAAGAACCTTTGAAATTCTTAGCCTCCCTCCCTTTCATGAGGGTCACATTTCTGGCACCAAGTTCATGGGTAAAAATCTCTCCAGTTCCTCCAAGGAACTTTTTTCCATTGACTCTGGACAAGTCATTTGAAGCAATACTTTTCACGGCAATCTGAGACAGTTGAAGATGGTTTTTGTGCCTTCTCTATATCCAACCCAGTGAGATTAGACCATCTGGAAGAGAACTGAAGGCTCCTTCCTTTATCTCTGCTCTTATAGCATATGTTTCCACTGGTTGAAAATATGGAAGAAGTCAATTAATCATTTGAGTCATCTAAAATTTTTTTCTGTGGGAGTTTCCTTGTTCAATCTTCTATTGAGCTGAAACCCAGAATCTTTTACCATTGGCAACCCTCTCTCAGAAACAATGCAGCTTGTGATTGTCTCACCATATGCAAACAGGTTTCCAATACACAAAGTCAACCTAAATGTTCAGACAATGTTACGAATAAGTTCAAGGCAATATACGTATCCACTCAAAATTTAAACTATAGATGATATTCATTTAACAAAACAGGTTAATTCTAACACAATTTGCCACAAAGTGAATTCCACACAAACAAATCTTGGTTCTAACCATGCTTGATTATTTAAAAAAAAAAAAATAGACAATGTGCCTCACAAAATATCTTTGGATTCTGTGTTAGACAGAATAATGTCCCCTCCCCCAAGGATGTTTTAATTCCTGGAATCTTTAAATCTATTCCTTACGTGTCAAAAAGGACTTGGCAGATGTGATTAGATTAAGGACTTTGGAGAGATTATCCTCAATTACCTGGGTGAGCCAACAATGGTAACAAGGGTAGTTAAAAATGAAATTAGGAGGCAGAAGTGGAGGTTAGAATAATGAGATGCAACYGGGACTTAACAGTCATTGCTGAGTTTGCAGATTGAAGAAGGAGACCATGAACCACCCCTTCAGGTGGACAACCTTTAGAGCTGAGAAGCCAAGGAAAAGAATTTGTTCTAGAGCCTCCTGAAGGGAACAGAGCCCTGTCCACACTTTGATTTTGGTACACGAGGCCAAAAACTGTGTGGTATGAAGCTGATGAATTTGAGTTAATTTGTTAAGGTGACCTAAAAACTAAAAGAGATTCTAATTAAAATTAACCCATACTTAAGAATGTTTATATAGACACTTAAAATCTTTTATTCAAAKAAAAATGATAAAAAAATACCACACCCATGTAACAGTAGCCTGGTGTTAACAATAACACTATACTATACTTTAATCAACCAAACAATCAGAAAAGGAAATGCAATACAGAAATGCATGATTGTCCTCCTTCTATGTTAACCCCATTTCTGTTAGTGAAGTCCTTTAACTTTACCAACACAGGCAGGTTTACACTAGTACAGATGTGAACTACCTTAATATTGAATTTTATTACCAAGAAGACTAATTACTAATTTGTTGTAAAAGCCAGAGGCCTCCTCGGTTCAGTGATATGGGTTTAGTGGGTCAACTGGGTTTTGGTCCCTTTGGTGTCTTAGAAGTTGGAAGACAATCTCAAATAATTTTGCATCAAATAATGAACTCCTTGAAGACACACATTTCTTCTTATTTGCTTTTTTGTTCTCTCTATCCCTTTTGTTCTCTCAGGTATATATGAAATTTCACTGAGGAATCTGGATAATCAAAGGGCAGATCCAATCCATTTGCAAAAATGTTCCACAGGTGACTGATTGTGATTCTAAATATATCAAAATTCTGTTTGCTGGGCKGGGGGCTGTAACTCAGTGGTAGAGCGCTTGCCTAGGACATGTGAGGCACTGTGTTCGATCCTCAGCGCCACATAAGAATAAATAAATAAAATAAAGGTATTGTGTCTATCTATAACTACAAAAAAAATTTTAAAATTCTGCTTGCTGATTCTGGAGAAATTCTGATCCCAAACTCCTGGATTAGCCATTACCTACTGAATTTAAGAGTACCAGCAGGAGCCAGAAGGCAGCCTATGGATTACAGGCTGTATATGTTGGCATACAATGTATTTAATATATAGGTGCCTTACATTAGAAAGACTGTTGAGTGAATTTGTTTGGTCAGTAATGCATATAATTTCAGAAGATGAAAGCTAGTTTCCTATGATTCTTTTCAATAGAACTCAGAATGCTTTTGTTATAAATTTGCCTGAAATGATGACAAAATGCAGAGCTCTTTACATGCTGTTTTTGAAGGGGTGAGGATTTCTGCCTTGTGTGGAGTGGATGTCTAGGTGCAGCTGTACCTCTTAGGTATGAAGTCAGAGCCTGTCCTGATCCCAGACACGGGAAACCTTCCACTGTTATTGTTGACGCAAAAGATGGCTGTTAGGCATCTCTCACACTGCCCCTCTTGTCTGATTATGTATTATGCCTAGAGTAAAGGTTCAGTTTTCTAGAGTGYATCTCTCTGTATTTGTGGCCTTTGTTTCTCTTACTCAAAAGAAGAAACCAAGCCAGGTACTATGTGGATGTCCATGAACTTCTGGAGGTTACATAGCATTGAGATCATTGTGTTTGAACTTTAAGTTTGTATGATTCTGGTTTGGAAGCTCACCTTGGTTAATTACTAAACTGTGATTTTTTTCCCCACCAGATTACTTAATTTTTACAGTATCTTTCCTTATATAATGGGAACAAGAATAGTACTTATTTCAAAGGTTTCTTAGGAGAATTAAATGAGAAAGTCCAAGTTAAAGATGTCAGCCTGGAGCTTGCTTGTCTTTTCAGGTCTATCATTATTTTTCTCCCAAGACTCTTGAAATGTTTGGCTATTAGTTGTCACATACCATTTAAAACTCACATTCCTTACATAAAGCAATGCTGCTACCTGGTAGCAGAAGCACCTGGCAGATGTGATTTCTCTATCAACAGAGAGAGAGAGATCTGGGGCTCTGAGACAGTGAACACATTATACAAAGCGTAGAACATGATGTCTGAAATGAGTTCAACAGCCAAACCCAGATTCCAGGTGTTCTGAAGGAAAAATTTCTTCCTTTTCTCACTGTCCTTTGCTTTTAATCTTGTAAATAGACTTTAAGGTTGTAGCTCTAAACAGTTACCTTTTTCTTTGACACATGTTACCCTTCTCCCTCCAGCCTCCTGGGACATTCATTCTAAGTCTCTCCAGTTCTTATTGGTGGTGTTTTTGTTTTTGTTTTTAACTTTGGTAAATAATTGAAAGGACCGGGAGCAAGTGCTCTTTTCAGACAATTTAATCTGGCACAAACAGTGTTCTGTGCAGTACAGGTTATGTACTACCCTGGTTAGTGCATTATAAACAAGAACTCTTCCTGAAAGCCATCACTTACTGTATGATTCCCACGTAGTTCTCAATCTCTGCCAAGGGAGCTTTCCTCCAGTTTTTTTTATATCCAATCACCAGAGTGTTTGGCTTCATTCTTCCTAAGCCTGAGGCCTAAACAGAGGACATAAACACATGGGCAATCCTACTGCACCAGAAAACTACCACTACAAATGAAAAATAATGTCCAAAGAGCACTGAAGTAATGTTCTGAAGATTCTGAAGATTAGATTACATTTTAGTGCATGTCCTTCATGCCCGTACCCAAGCATAAAATAGAAAGATTAGTTCTAAATCATCTCAGCCATAAATGGATTTTAGATGACAGAAATGTAGCTTTTCTAAATTAGCAGTCATTTGCATTTCTTCTGACACACTCATTAAAATGGTTCAATAATTTAAAATCAAGTAAGGGCCAGTTTAACTGTTGGTATGCATGTTATAACTTAGTGGTTCAAAGCTCATTTCCACCTGTTATATCCATAATGTCATTAGCAATAAAATTCATGTTTGGGAAATTCTTATATACAAGGATCACTGAAACCTCTCATATTATTTATTGAAGAATGACTGAACTTTGTTTCCAAAATCTAACCCTCTTGCATGATGATATCATTAATAGTTACATTCCACATTAGATATTTCATTTCCCCCCATTAGATGACAGGATATGGCTCCCAGTTAATCAGATTTAATTTGGCAATATTATCAAGCGTCTATTAATTGCAGAGTGGTATGTTAGGTGCTGTGAGAGAATAGTGCAGTATCTTCATTGGCATTAAGGAACTTAGAATAAGGTGGAGGAGACAAGATATGCACAAATAAYTGTAATATAAGTTATAAATGTAGAAGGGACTCCATAAGGAAGCCAGAGGAAGAAAACTTGAATTCTAGCCAACGATTCACAGGCAGATTCATGGGAGAAGTGGCATTTGCTTTGAGTCTTGGAGTCTGATTAGATGTTGACCAGTGAAGATAAGGACAGCAGTGAGAGTAAAGAAGGCCATTCTGGCACGTGGGAAGAGTTAAAGAAATGACTAGAGTTGGACATTTTTAAAGAGATAGGAAAAAGATAGGTACTAAGGGAGGGTCCCTGAATTAAGCTTTGCCTCTAATGCATTTGGTATACTGCTCTTAGAAATACACAGATAGCCCAAGAGTTCCTTGGAGCCATTTTTTTTTTTTTTTTTTTTTTTTTGCCCTTGAAACATATACAGCAGTATGGATATTGTCTTTTCCCTAGCTACAGTCTAGGGATATGGTCATCTGCACTGTAACTTCTTAGATACAAAGAAAACTTTATTCAAAATGTTGTAATTGGCAGTGTTTGACTTCAGTGCCACTCAGTCTTGCCCTTTTGCCATGACCCCTCTGTACTCCACCTTGATTTAAAGAAATTCATGTGAATTTATGCGTGCTCAGATTTTTTATCATTCATTCTGGACTAATCTAAGAATTCTTTTCCATGCCTATGTCTTTTGTCTCCCTGCTCTGATTCTCTACCTGCTTGTAGTCCCATTCCTGGTTGAAAGTTTTTATCATTTTACAAATATTCTATGGTTACTCTATATTGAATGTATAACCTTCTCAATATATTTAGCCAAGAGCTACTGCAAAGTAATTCATTACTGAAAGAAAAATCAGCATTTTGCAACAACACCTATTTCCATGCTTTAGCAAATTAATAACAGACGAAAAGAAGCTTATTGTGGATAACAGGCCTTTTAGAAATGACTTCTCTGCATGTACTGCTACTTTACAATTGCTCTTTGGGTGCATTGCAGTCAGAAATGCATCAAATGCCCTTAATCTCCAAAATATTATTGCTTAACAAGTATTTTCTTTTTCCTTGCCCACATAAGCATCAGAGTAACCTGGATGCATTCTTGAATTCTGACACTCCTAACTATGGCAACTCTGAAAGTCAAACACTCCATTTGGTATCCATACTGTGGGGTTTTTCAATTGTATTACAGTCAAAACGTTTAGAAAGCCAAGCCCTACACTTCTGAGAGTCTCTTGGATTGTTTTTAGGATTTTTTTTTTTTTTTTTGCACTCTACACTGCAGAGATGGGAACTATGGAAAGATTTTATGTACTTACTATGGAAGAGGTAAAGAAAGAGATGGAAAAGGGAAGAGCAAGGGGGAAAATGTGGATAACTGTGGGCTTTTATGTTGCGCTATAGAGATTATTACATTTTATTCAACATTCTGGAAATAATTCAGGTGGATAGGGAGATTTTCCACCCTGATCACCATGCATTTATTTAGTTGAGTCTAGCAGCTGCCCTCACACCATTTGCAAAAAAGAAAAAGAAAAGAATGCCTGACTTGAGCACTGCAATATGCAGTATGAAAAGCAAAAATAGTTTGAAGTTTTAATAGGATCCTGAATGTCGTCAACCACCAGAACAAATTTACATTTCAATAAGTATGGGGATAGAATGTGTGCCTGTGGCCAAAGGCAACCTCGGTTTCTGTTTCCAGTGTATCTTTCCTAGCTCACWGTAATAGAACCTCTCTGCTTTTGTTCTAGCTTTGTCTATCCCCAGGAACTCGGAATGAATTCCTTACCCATCTGCATTAATCTCTGAKGCTGGGCTGCCTGACTGCAGCCATTTGCTTCAGGAGCTTCATTAACATGGAATGCTAATTATCTTTTGTCTCTATGCTCATTCCCTCAGTGCTAGCCTTACCTGAAGGAGACTTCGGACACCATCTCTGAAGCAGTTTGCTGCCACTGCGGCATAGAAAGCCTTGATTTTGTTCTTTATAAGCCAGGCCTGTTTTTTAGCCATGCCACTGTTCATCTCCTTAACACACAGCTTGCGCGGTCCCTGTACGACACAATGAAATATTGGTTAGAAGTCTGCTATTGTACATCACACTGCTGTTGTTTTTCTAAAGGACAAAAATAGCTAGCAATGCCCTGTTGAGTTAAGAAATGCGGAAGAGGGAAAAACACCTCCTTAAACAGAGTTCACACGGATTCAACCTTTTGGAGAGGACCTGTTGTGTTGCTCACATTCACTTTCCACCCAAAATGCCTAAGCTTATTAACACCTGCTTAATTAACTGCATCATACTGAAAGAAAGAGAAAGCAGAGGGCATCATGACACTTAAGCAAATACTCCAAATGTGATTGAAGAGGCTCAGGATAAATGCATAATTCAACCTTTGACTCCATAGTGGGAGCCACTTTTAGTAACACCAAAGAAATCTCAGCTAGAGCCTCGTTTTAAGAAATGGACAGAGCTCTTGGGAATCGGACCATGGTGAGCTGCAAATCCTGTCACGAGCTGCACGTCTTGATAACTCTGTTAGGCTGAGGCGTTGCTTTTTGTGTGTGTGGCAAGAATACCCTTGTACCACTTTTCCCTGTATAATGTTGACAGGCTTCTACTCAAATGTATTCACATTTCCTTCTCACTCAGTGAATGTGGTGGGAACAAAAGTTCACATATCTAGGTCATAAGAAAAGCAGAAAAGGTGAAGAGACAAGGAGGCTTATTGTAATGGTAGTGAAGGCATTTCATAATTTCAAGATTTTTAACTAAATTTTTATTCTTGTTTCTCCTTCCTTAAAGGTCCAAGCTAGCTTTTTTTCTTCTTATGTTTCATTTCAATTCAAATGGCATTTCCGATTAATCTACCATGTGCTCCATAGACAAATCGAGTATTTTCATGAAAATTCTTTCAATTCATAGAGAGATCTGTGTTTTGTTCAGATGTCTTAGATTGYATATGAGTCTCTTGGGATCTTGATGAAGCGCAGTGTTAGGTCTGAAAAGGGCTCAAGATCTTGCATTTCTAACAAGGTTCCAGGTCAAATGACTGCTGCCGGTCCTTAGGCCACACTTGGAGTGACAGTCTTCGAAGGACTTTGATGGGAGAGAAAAGGCATGAGGATAATATATGAAAAAGAGTTCAGGCTCTGGGGACAGACAGAACTGGTCTAAAATCTAAGCTTGGCCATGTTGGAGGTAATTGATTATTTCTGAGCTTCGAAATTTTATTCTAGACATGGGGATAAACTCCCTTTCTTTCATGGTTTAAGTAGTAATAATAAGATACCTACTCTCTCTGGGAGGTGATAGATGCTTGTCCAAACTGATATGTATGATCTTAAATGAATGTTCACAATCTCATTGGAGCCCCAGACTTAGTGGTAATTTATCACTGTGTTTGTTCAATATTGGAGCTAAAAGGACACTGAATTTGGGTTCAGAATGGGCTCCAACATTGACTGGCTGAAACCTTGGTTGTGTCATTTGTCCCCTCTTGAACTATGTTCTTTTATTTATGAAAATAAGGCAACTGCCTAAGTCCTCGCTCCCCCATGTGCCAGGCCACCTACATGTTGCTACTGAGCTTTTGAAATGTGCCCAGTCCACACTGAGACATATTCAAAGTTTAAAATACATACTGGATTTTGAAGCCTTAGTACAAAAAAAAAAAGGATGTAAAATATCTCAGAATTTCTATGTTGGTTGCATATAGAAATAATATTTTGGATGCACTGGGTTAAATAAATTATTTTTTAAAAAATTTAACCATTTCTTTTTACCTTTTTGATTGGCTACTAGAAAAATTTAAATAACACAATGTGTCACATGTTATGTTTCTTTCTTTTTTTGGTGGGGGAGCAGGAACCAGAGATTGAACCCAGGGGTACTTTACCACTGAGCTATATCCCCAGTTTTTTAAAATTTTTTATTTGATGTTGATAAATTGCTGAGGATCTTGCTAAGTTACCCAGGCTGGCTTCAAACTTCCAATCCTCCTGCTTTAGCCTCCTGTGTTGCTAGAATTACAGGCACGTACCACTGCGCCCAACTAATTTTCTGTTTCAATTGGATTAAGTTCTTTATGTGCTTAATTATTTTCCAGAATATTTTCTAGAACCTACCAATTTTCCAATTATTGATTTGTATTAAAGTTAAAAAACAAAAACCTTCACGGAAGATAAAAAATGCAGAGGCATAAGAAGGATAGTTACTGAACCAGAAGGCCAAGACTAAAGAAAGGTATGTCATTATGGATCAAATTTGGCTCAGGTCTCCAGACTGTTGATGCATTTTGAACCACCAGTCCTTTCTTAGGCAGTCTAGACTCCACCTACTACAAATGAAAGAAAGCATATTTTACTGAGGGAAGTTCAACAGTAACAACAACCATTGGAGTGAAGAAAGATGTTGGGCCATCAGGATATTGAGTAGGACCTCGATGTCTCTGAACCCCTGGGGAAAATGGCATTTATTTAAATAAATACAGTCTAATGTATGTCTGTTAGTATTATAAAAATCTAGATTAAACATTAATTGTGACAAGAAGATTTATTTTAATGACTAAGTTTCCCCTACTGAGAAGTCATAAAAATATTTCATGCAGAATCTCTTTTTGCTAAAAGCAATTATAATATCTTCCTAGCACACTTACTAATGTGTAGCGAGGCTGCAGTGCCAAAGTCGTAAGGATAAAACAAACTAACAACTAGAGGAGACATACTGGAATACACTTATTCATCATTCAAATATGTCATACTCCCTAAAATRGATTTTCCCACCCAATTAATATGTTACAGAGATTAACTTCAGCTGGCATAGAAAACAGGAACACATAAATTCAGGATTTGAACAAAGAAACTTTTAAAACTGTTGTATATATTATAACTTGGACAATGATTTGAAAAGGAGTAAAGAATTTCTAATTATTGAGTCCAGAAGAATCTGATGTGACACTGCTTCAAATAAGTGAATATTATGAAAAAGGGTTTTGCAAAGGAGTTCCAACACCGTTAGGATCAAATAGAGGAATGTAGGCCAAGTGCAATGTTCTTTCCAACTTTTATTTCTTAAAACATTGAGAGTCTTATTTGTCTSTCTTTGTTGTCATTGTTTCTCTGGTTGGAACTGTTAAAAAGAGAATTTTTCCCTTTCTGATTTGGTCCATTTTTCATCTCACCACGCATCCTAGTGCCCATTCATAGGTCATTTCATTCCTTCTGTATTTGGTCATGTCACTATTTTATTAACATCATGACAGAGAGTCACTGACAAAAGGAGAATAGATGCATCTCAAAAGAATGCATTTTCTTCATGGTGGGTGTGAAGGTTGTGATTAGGAGAAGATAGAAAAAACAAGAATTTCAGTTTCCCCAGGGTTATCCGGGCTCAATTGTCTTCCATTATGCCATAGAGTTAGGAGATGGTTTTCTTRAAAACTTCTCAAAGAGAAAATTCAAAGAGAGCTTTGGATTTTATTAAGGGATTTTATAATTTTCAGGAAAAGAAAAAGAGGGTAATAGCAGAGGTGAAACATTAAAAGGGGGTCTACTTGAGGAAGCTCATCAAAAAGCATCTTTTTTCCTCCTTCACAATGGGAAGGCAGGACAATCAAAGTTAAAGCAGTATTAAAGAGCAGGGAAAATAGGAACCAAAATAGTTTTGCATCCTGGCACACAGATGTGAAATAAAGAGAAAAATATCCATAAAACTCAGATACATTGTTGCTGGAGATAGAGAGCCACAGGTCTCTCTATCTGTGGTGATAAAGGGGTCTTGAGTTTGATTTGTACTGGTTATTTCATTTCAAAAGGATAAAAGTGTCAACCGTTCTTAAGTAGGAGAGGTGGAATGGTTCCCTGTAATTTTATGTTGTTGAACTATATAAAGTTGCTGGCATAAACAGTTTTGATCAACAAAAATGTAAGTTTTGTGTGATTCAGTCTGTCATTTTTCTTACTGTTTTAAGATAAAAAATAGAAGTGATCTTGGATAAAAATCTTTATTTTTAAGCCACTAGCACGGCACAGTGTATGTGGTTTAAAAAAAGTATATATATATATATATACATGTACTGTAATAGAGTCAAAAGTCCTCTGCAATTTTAAGACAGAAAAGAGGTGAATGGTACTTTTTTTTTTTTTTTTTTGGCAAGAATGATTTTATCTGATTTGTATTTTCAATCCCAAATCAACTGACTCAACTTTCATTGTACAAAAGTAGCTGTTTCTTATCTGTTGTTCAAAAGAACACTGTCTTGATGTAAAACTGAGAGGTAGATAAGTGAAGGACTGCTGATCTCTGTCATGTGATGCCTTCTTGCACAGGACAATGCAGTGCAAGCTAATCCCACCTGATTTTAGGGCAGAGCACAGTGTACCAGAGAGTTATGGGGATATAAACTCAAACTAAATTATTTGTAATGATTGGCTGCAGTATCTCTCTATCCACTATGAATGACATAAACACAGAAACTAATTGAAAAAAGTGCATACGTTTGTCATGATACATAGAGTGGAACTGGTGGAGGTTAAGATTTGCAACACTGGGGCTGGGGATGTAGCTCAAGTGGTAGCGTGCTCGCTGGGTTCAATTCTCAGCACCACAAAAAAGTAAAATAAAGATATTGTGTCCACTTAAAACTAAAAAATAAATACTTAAAAAAAAGATGTGCAACACTTAATACTTGCCTCTTGCTGAGCCCACTGAACTTGGCTATGCTAAAAACTGTGATTTGATACTAGAAGGTGAGTCCTACTCACTCTTGCCTTTCCATGGTGATTGGAATGAGGTACAAAAGAACAAAATTATTCACATGTTGGATATAAAGCCTCTTGAGATTAGAAGATGTCACTGATTTGTTATTTGTAGTTCAAATGAGAAGACCAGACAATGTTTTAAAAAATTCTAAGATGGATTTCTTGAAAGGATCATMAAGATTGTTTTGATGAAGGGTCCCTTATCTGAAATCTTAAGGCTGAATAAGAAAAAGGCAAGAAGAGGGAGCAAGAGGCTTCAGTGGGTTAGTACAGGAGTTAGATAATTGGGGCCCAGAAAAAAATTAAGTTCTTTTTATTTCATTTTTAGCAGCTTTAAGGGCTATAATTTCTAGGTCTTTAAAAATGCCATAGTTAAACTGGGCATGGTGGCACATACCTGTAATCCCAGTGGCTCTAGAGGCTGAGGCAGGAGAATTGCAAGTTCAAAGCCAGGCTCAGCAACTTARCAAGGCCCTAAGAAACTCAATAAGACCCTGTCTCTAAATAAAATACAAGAAAATAGGGCTGAAGATGTGGCTCAGTGGTAGAATGCCCCTGGGTTCAATCCCCAGGCCAAAAAAAAAATTGACATAGTTAAACCAGGTGTGGTGGTGCATGCTTTTAATGCCAGCTACTCAGGAAGCTGAGTCAGGAAGACTGCAAGTTCAAGGCCAGCCTGGGCAACTTATTGAGACCCTGTCTTAAAAAATAAAATAAACACTGGGTGTTGTGGCACACACCTGTAATCTCCAGTGGCTCAGGAGGCTGAGACAGGAGGATTTCAAGTTCAAAGTCAACTTCAGCAATTTAGCGAGAACTTGTCTCAAAATAAAAAATGAAAAGGGCTGAGGATTTAGCTTAGTAWCTAAGTATCCCTTAGTATCTTAGTATCTAAGTTCAATCCTTGATATCAGAAATAAAATAAAAATAAAAAGTGAATTGGGCATGTAAGTCAGTGGTAGAGTGCTTGTCTGGCATGTTGTGAGGCCCAGTACCTCAGAGGAGGAAAAAACAGCCTTGATTTCAGGAAATGGCAACTATGATCACAAGCTCTCAACTACCCACCAACACCAAAAAGCCAGTGAATTGTGGGTCTTGCTCCTTTCTGTAGTATGAGCACTTCAAACAAGGGCTTAATGGCAGAAGGCCAGCCACAGAGCAGTGGAGCAGAGCTAGCTGTCTCATGTCTGGTAGGAAAACATATCTCAATGTTCCATCATGACCAAACAGCTAGATACCCCAAAAGCTCAAAATTCAGTGCCCGGCTTGTTTTTTAAGAGAGGATTCTTTAGGTCTTTGTTTTTGCCCTGTATTTCTGAAATGAAAATGGCAGCCAGGTATATCAAACATAACTAYAATGACAACAGCAGGATCAATAATAATAAAACTAAAATTAAATGAGCATTTACTATTTGACAGACACCAAACTGAGTACTTGAATCATATCTTATATGATTCTCATATTAACTTTACAATATAGGGGGTGTTTTATTAGTTTTATTTTATAACTGAGAATATTGAGTCAGAGTGACTAAATTATGTGCCGAATGGACCTACAGCTAATAGGTGGCAAAACAGTGATTCAGAACTCGGCTGTTAGTCACAAAAGCCCAAGAGCACCARCTTCCTAAGGTTAAAAACAAAACTGTCATTCTCTTATCATCACCATTTAACATTTTCCACAAGGTTGGCCTAACCATCAACCAATGCACATACACTTTCAAAAAAAATTCTGAGGGTATGCTGACTCCCCCCATATTGCCTTCCATCTGTTTCTTTGCAAAAATGATTGACAGCTGGAGTCTAAAAATGGTAACAGCATCTRTAACCACAGGAATTCGTAGAAAGTAACTAACTGGAAAGTCATTAACTGATTCAGTAACTATTTTTTGTCCCCAAGAGAACTGTAGCACCCGGGAACAAGACTCTTGGGTCCTACATGGAGAGACCAACACAATAATGTACAATGTCACCCATATACATGCCAAACAGCAAAGGTCACAGACTTAGGTATTTACTTCAAATGAAATGATATTCTAGCATCATACTCCTTTATTACAGTTAAAGCAGCAAAGGGTTAATTAAAAGCAATATCTCTTGTCTCTGTAGAAGACCTTTTCTCCCCAGTCAGTATATGACAGTTTATATTCCCAGTTCATTTTTCTAGTTCTGAAGATACTTTATTGCCTGCTAAACTAAATTTTCTCTAAATTGCTAGAGAAGAAAAACACCTCAAACTGCTTATTCCATCAAAACCAACTCCTATATTATATTGGCCAAAATGAAATCCACTAATCCAGGGCACCAAAGTTGATAATATGAGAGAAGGGTTCTTGATAAGCTTTTTAAAAATCCTCTGGAGTCACAGCTGGCCGTTACTTAACCTGTCAATCTTATGTATTCAGTAGGATTCTCTCCTCCCACTATAGGATAATTGCATTTAGTTATATTGTTTGAGTTACTGTCATATAAGCACAGAGAGGAAGGAGAATATGACCAACTCGTTTCATATAGATTTTAGAATATTGCCAGGTGTAAAAAGAGGCTTAAATGCTGCTCATGGTGACATGTGGTAAATTAGCCCCTGTATCATCACGGAGCTGACTGGCCCCAGGGTCACACAGCCTCCTGATGGCCTATTCCTTGGCTGACATTGGAAATGTAAGTAGTGGTACCTGATTCTAACAGTGCTCCCAAGGATGCAAGTCTGCTGAGGTTTTCTCCACACTGTGTATTGCAGAGCACACCCAGGGGCGTGGATTGACGTCCTGACTCTGCCACTGTCTTATCACGTGATTATGAGCATTAATTTAATTTTCTTGAATCTCACTTTCCCAATCAGTAAATTGAGAACACAGCTTTGTTTATTTTTTGCCTCATTGGGCTSTCATGTGAATCAAACAAGAAAAACTAGGAAAATGCTTGGAAGAATAGGTAAGCACTTAAGTACTACAAAAATACATCAATAGATGAGGACTTTTAGCAGTGTGTGTGTGTGTGTGTGTGCGCGTGTGTGTTTGCGCGCACAAGAAAAACAGAAAAGAGAAAGGGAATGACATAGGAATACTAGTAGAAGTGGGCTAGTTTGGAAGATTTGGACCTTTTTTTTTTTTTTTTTTTTTTTTTTTTTAATCCTGGGAATCAACCCAGGGTCTCCATATGCTAGGCAAACACTCACTACTGAGCTATAGCCCCAGTCCTATACATTGTTATTTTAAATAATAATTTTAATGCTTTCTCCCCACTTGAGAATAATTATGGTTAAAATTTTAACCACTATATGAATACTTCCTTAGAAAATCACCAATTGATTATTATTTGTCTACCACATACTCCCTAAACAAAAAGTAATTCATTCAGCAATGACTGTTTATCTAAGACATGGAAAACTTGCTTTAATTCCCTAGATATCTGCGGTGTCATCAGGTTTACCCAAATATTTCATCTAAATTCCACATGCTGTCATTTAAGGCCATTATGTCTGGTTCTCTCCTCGTCAGTTAGTCTATATAATAGTGCTCTCTCTGGCTCCTTCCATCCTTTCACATTTCGAAGGACAGTTATCACCCCAAATGCTTTCGTTTTATTTCCAAGCCAGTTCTGTTTTCCTTGACTCAAAGGCCATCCTTTAGAAATATTTATCACTTTTAGTTGGTCTCCTATGAAATCAGAAAAACATTTCAACTAYGGGTTAAAATTTAGGATCCCGGGCTCTTGCTTGTCCTTGATCTATGAATCAAGRAAGAGGGTTCTTATCCAGAGTTTTTTGTTATTTTTCTATCATTGCACGTACCTTCCCTKCTGGCCTAAGTAACACAAGGTGAGCAGGGAGAAAAAAGCACTTTTCATAGATGAAGAGTCTCTTACCACAAAGACTTCACAGCAGATGCAAAGTCCACTGTTCTTGGTAAAGGCGTGAGTTATGTCCAAGAGAGCAGGTCTTGTCATGGGTCCCCCTGTTAGAACAATACACTGGGGCCTGAAAGTAAAGAAGAGAAGATATAGAATTGGCCATTACAGGAAGCCGCTGAAAGCAGAAATGCCCCATTGGAAACGGCCAGTACAGAGGCTATGAAAAACGCAACCGCCTCTCCCCTGATTATTTCTTGAGTTTCCCACCAACATCTTTGTATTCATAGTCTAGTCAGTCACAGCAAAAGTGTAAAGCAGGGAAAAGGCAGTTTGGGGTCCACTTGCCTTTTATGGTCTGGATACTGCTCTACCCCAAATATCAACGAAACCTGTCCCTCTCCAGTCACTATTCACTATTTCCTTCTTCTTCTTTTTTTCCTCCCCTTCTGTCTTGCCAGCTTGTGCTGAGAAGTTCCATTCAAAATAAGATATAACTTGGACTGGGGATGTGGCTCAAGTGGTAACGTGCTCACCTGGCATGCGCGGGGTGCTGGGTTCGATCCTCAGCACCACATAAAAAGAAAATAAAGATGTTGCGTCCACCGAAAACCAAAAAATAAATAGTATTAAAAAAAAAAAGACATAACTAAAGAAAAGCCCAAGTGTGACTGCTCTGAAGGGAACTCAGTAAGCTCAAGCTGAATGGAGATAATTAATAATTATATTTTAATTAATAATAATTAAGACATCTCTCTGAAATCATGTCATTTAGGCCACTTTTCCATCTCCACGCATGGAAGGTGACACTTGGCACCATAAGGGGTTACGGTTTTGGGTAGGCATGACCCAGTGTGGGAGGAAGAAGCACTCATTTGTAGGAAGTGCTGCTATGAAAGTATGGCAGTTGCTCATTTTTGGAACATATTCACAAAGCTTGTAATTACTCTATTCTTGCACAAAAGAAAAGCCTCTTCTGATGTGGAACACACCAGATGCCTGAGTAGCCAACTTTACCTGAAATTTTTCACGTGGTCTTCCACTGTGGTTAATTCCAGAGCATTGTCCAAAGCACTCACATAGGAAAGAGCCTGTGTGGAGGAGCCCCAGTTCACATCTGTGGACCAAGGAGGAAATTGGCACACACAAAATTGTTACAAGCCATCCACTTATATAATTTTCCCTGGCTATGCAAGCAGAGATCTGTGCCCAAATTAGAGAAAATGCAACAGTGTTTCCTAGAAAGAGCTTTGTGAACACTATGTGAATCCTCAGAAACAAGGCTTTTTTCCAGCTAAGGATCAGCCTGTAAAGCTGCAGTCTCAGAAATCTTGCCTGGTGGAAGAGGCTGTGTGAGAACTACATTGCAGGTGGAAGGACTGGGGAAAATGGTCAGCCCTGAATAAGTTCAAGGGGTCTTCACAAATTCTTAAATTGAAAGCAATTTCAGTTATACAGATAGTGTGCAGTCATCTTTATATTTGAATAGTTAAAATGAGCAGTTCAGGGATTTATGCTTCTAGATGTCCATGAATAGGATCAAGGCTCTTTAGCTAGCATTTTGGGTTGATCTTTTAGAACACAATCATAACAAGGGAAGTCAGCACTACCATCCCTTGTCTGCCTTTCTTTCTTCCTTCTTTCCTGTCTTCCTTCCTTCCTTCCTTTCTTTTTCAAAAACAAATTTAAATATTAAATGAACTTGAATAGGCTAGAAATGCACAGACCCATTCCAAGACGGAGGAACCTATTCCCTCCACTCTTGCTTTGGAGAGTTAGAAAGTGAGTTGGAGATGATTAACTGGAAGTAAAAAACAGGTTAACATTGATCAAGTACTGGCAATGCATTAGACATTAAGCATACTTTAGTCAACTCATTTTTATAGGAATAAAAACCCCCTTAGTCAAATGGACATTTATATCCTAAAATTGAAACTTATACGACACCTCACACCCTACACAAAAATTGACCCCAAGGGGATAGTAGACCTTAATGAAATCACCAAAGCATTAAAACTTGTAGAAGTTTGTGACCTTGGACTAGGGAAAGTTAAGTCAGATGTAAATTGCTAAACCATATAAATAAAAAAAGGAAAGATGACTAAGACATCATATAAATTAAGAACTTCTGTTATTCAAAACAAACTATAAGGAAAATAAAAATAGAAGCCACAGACCCGGAGAAGATATTTGTAAAACACAAACTGCAAAAGGATTTGTATCTAGAATATATAAAGAATTGTCATGCCAGGCATGGTGGCACCTTCATATAAATCCARCCACTTGATCTAAGCAGCTAAGACGGCTAAGACAGGAGGATTGCAAGTTCAAGGCCAACCTCAGCAACTTAGGGAGACCCTTAGCAATTTGATGAGACCCATCTCATGACAAATATAAATAAATAAAAAAGGACTGAGCATATATTTCAATGGGAAAGCACTCCTAGATTCAATCCCTAGTACAAGAAACTAAAAAACAGACCAAACAAAAATCTCTCACAATTGAATAAGAAAACAATTGGAAAAAAATGAGCAGAAGATTGAAACAGACACTTAACTAAAGAAGATATATGAATGGCAAATGAGATGTTCAACATCATTAGTCACTGAGAAAAAGTAAATAAAACCACAATGACATAGCACTATATGTCTATTAGTATGACTTTTTAAAAAAGCAACTGACAATTCTAGATGATGACAAAGATATGAAGCAACTAGCTAGGACTCTTTCATTGCTGGTAGGAACAGAAAATGATACTGCTGCTATGGACAACAATTTGACAGTTTCTTTTAAAGTTATGTATATACTTACTATATAAACAGAAATCTGAATCTTAGATATTTACTCAAGTAAAATGAAAACTTAGGTCCATATGAAGACATGTGTATGAATAAATATAGCACATGGATACATAATCATCTTAAACTGAAAATAAATTAGATGCTCACTGACTTGTGAAGAGATTTTTTAAAGTGTTGTGATATATTCATAATAGGGTGCTGCCCAACAATACAAAAGAACAAACGACTTATACCTGTGACAACTTGGATAAATCCAGAGGATTATGCTAAGTGGAAGGCTATTATTATATGGTCCTATTTATAGGATTTTTCTGGAAAAGATTAAGGTATAGAATCAGAAATTAGAAAAGTAGTTGCCAGGGACAAGTTCTAGAGAAAGGAGATTGAAGACACGGGGTGTAGGGCACCTTAGGGATGTCCTCCGTCTTGATTATGGTGTAGGTACTGGACTGTATAAGTTTGTCAAAACTTGTGGAATGTACCTCAAAAAGGGATGTACAACTACCATATGTAAATGGTATCTGATGTTGAAAATAGATAAAGAAAAACAAAACAAATCCATCCAAAGTTGTTTTATACTATCTCTACCTCACTGGCAAAGTGAGGAAAGGGGAATTCTATGGTGGCCTGGGGCCTCTCAGTACCCCCCTGTTTCCCTAGTCACTCCCTSCTTCAGTTCACCCTTCTCACAGGTTCTAAAGTCAACATCCAAAGTTCAGGTCCAGTTATGCTTCTCCAACTGAATACCTATGGCACCTTTCTATTGTTCTCCAYATCCTGATTCTTTCACAGGCCATGTAAATTTCCTATTTCCTTGGCCTCAGCCAACCCCTCTCACTTCACATCAAGTCCCTTCTCCTTAGTACCAAACAAATCAATGTGTTAAGGCCTTGGAGCTTCCCCAAAATGCCACCAGCTTATGTGCATCCTTAACTTCACTCCTGCTGTCCTTCTGCCTAGAATGTCATTCCCTGACTCTGTTCCATGAATTGTCTCTTAGTTGCTTATTGTTTTCTTTTATAACCTAATTTATTTGTTCACTCAACAAATACTTATTTTGTACAGAGTGCCTGACCCTGAGAACTCAAGCCATGAACCCCCAAATTTTCTTAGACAACTCTGATCAAGGAAATGGCTCTCTCCCTCCCCTTTTCTTAGCAAATTATTATTCTTATTTTCATGGTTTTTGCTTACTATATTGTATCATAATTAATTGTTTATTCTGGGAACTCCTGARGACAGGACATGTATTTCATTTGGGACACAGAAGCAGAAGGTGCTGTAATGGAAAACTTCTGGGATTTGGGATGATACTCCTCTGGTTAAGATGTCAACTCAATCACATCCTGACCATTACAAGTGGTCAATTCTGTGAACTCTCGTTTCTTTGTATGTAAAATGAGAGTAATACTAATGTACAACACTATCATGAGGATTAAATGATTATATGACATAGTTGTTGTTATTTCTACATTACATTACATTATTACTATCTACCTTGTACATGGCACACCTAAGCTGCTTAATAAATGCTGAATGAATGGATAGAGAGAGATTTGGAAACCCCATCCTGGACAGTCCTTATCTTACCTGGCTTCTTATAAGTCACATAGATATAGAGGAATAACTCAATGACATAGGTGATAACAGCTGCCCACCAGTTGATGACAAACATGACCGCACAACACAACACAGCTCCAAAAAGAGACACCCACATGTTGTAAATCCCATATGCAGGTCTCCATCCTGAAAAAAAAAAAAAAAAAAAAAAACCACAAGTTTTTCACACTACTGTTATCAGGCTACTGAATTTTATAAGAATGCAGGTAATGTGTGTTTTCCTGTCTTAAAGAATCAGAACTTTGAGGTCCATTTTCTAACTCTGTTATTTTTTTTTTTTTCTATAATCTTGGGTCCCTGGCCTATGAAAGTGGTGGTTATACCAAACATGATGCTGTAAAATTTGGGAAATATTAAGCATTTGGAAAATTTTACTCAYAGACCCCTTCATTCTTCCTGTCTGCCCCAATTGTGCTTTCCAAAGCTTAGGCATCTAAAATCTAAGCCACCAGGGGTTGAAAGGAGGCAGGAGGGATGGAAAGAGTGGGAGGAGGAGCTTCCTGGTTATCCGGGAGAGAGAGGATTAAGACATTCAGCTTTTGCACATGACTATTCTTAGTCAGCAGGAGTCAATCTGCTTGACTTCTTGGCAGCTCTCCCATAACCCTAAGAGGATAGCCCTGTCCTTTCAGAAACAATAATCCATGGAAAAAAGAAGGAGAGATTTTTCTAGCAATGACTTCTTAAACCCAATATGTTAATATATCACACATTTTGTAATGAAAATATTTCTCACAGTTCCTAAATACATAGTTTCCATGTTCTATTAGTTCTCTGAAATGAATAAAGCCAGGAGACAGTATGGTCAGGATGGGGAAACTCTGATTTGGAGGGCACTTGGTCTCTGGATGAAGTACATTTTACATTTGCAGTTGCCAAAACACAACACAACTGTAAAAGTCTCCAGGAGCAATTTCCTAAATAACCACAAGATGGAAATAGCACTTTGAGAACATCATTGGAAATACCTTTATTTTTCTGAGTCTGGCTTGTCTCTCTCTCTCTCTCTCTCTCTCTCTCTCTCTCTCTCTCTCTGTGTGTGTGTGTGTGTGTGTGTGTGTGTATGTGTGTGTTTGTGTTAAAGAGAAAGAGAGAGGGAGGGACAAGAAGAGAAGGAGAGGGAGAAGGAGGGAGGGAGGAAGAGAAAGATATTGATTTATTTTAAGAGTTTGTGTGGTTGCCTCCTTCTATACGTTTTTTCTATTTTTCCTCCCTCTCTTTCCCTTCTTCCTTTTCACTCATTTTCCTACCAGCCTTTATAACTCCGCCTTGTTTTTCAAAAATGGCTATAACAAGGCATAGGGTCAAATATTTCTTTGTGTTAAAAGAATATAACAAAACTAAACAAAAAGTCTTTCTACATCTCCTACAATCCAGAAGCCTTGGGTAGATAAAGGTTCCCTGTCCATTTATCTTTCATCTTCTTGCCAGCAGGTTTTCCAAAGGCTTGGGAAGGCAGTAGTCCCTAAGGCAGTGTTTGATATGTTTGACAAAATCTTCATTGTGAGGAAGTTTTTAAGGGTTGATGATGACAAGACTTTATTTTTTGGAGGAAAGGCAGAGGATCTCTACTGGCCAGTTGAAGCCAAAAAGAGATGAGGGATGACTGCGTAGGGGAAAGGTCTTTGGTGTAAAATTCTGAATGACTTTAAACCTAGCCCCAAAAGTGCACAGACGCCACTGGCATCAACATCATGGGGCCCAACGTGAATCTGCATTGCCTGCACTCAGCAGGTAATTATGGGAGCTATTCATCCTTCTCTTCTGCACCATGGGCAGGAAACAAATTGATAGTAAGGAAGTCTCAAATATATACATTTATTCCACTTCTGTGGTCACTTTCACCCTGGAAATAAATAGTGGTGTTTTTCTACTGCTGAAATAAATGTGGTTTCTCTTGCAATGAATAATTTATTGCCACAGGAGAAAATTGACTTTACGGTTGGTCAAAAAGGCCATTGCTCAAATGATTCTTTTTCTATTTTAGAAGCCATCCCCCAACTCACCAAAATAAAGTGGATTACACTGCCCACTAGGATATACAAAAACATATAAACACAGATTGAGCACTTTTCACTGACTTATTTCATTTTATTGAGACAAACTAACTGTTTGCTTAGGCTGACTCCAGTTTTGAAATGTCATCTTACCTGGAGATTTAGCATAAGAAGCATGGAAGCAGGAGAAGTTAATAAGTGCATATGAGGCCAGGAAAAAGTTGGAGATGATGGGAGCAATGGTGTTCAGTTCCGCTGTAAAAGAAGCAAAATCAAACATGTACGTCTGAGTGATGAGATCGGGGGCTGAACAGCTGTTATAGCCTGGAAGCCTGACTTTATTTGGAAATTGAAAATATAGCTAGCATCTGTCAAAGTTTAAAAATTTAGTGATTTTTTTCTTTGGGATAACATATATACTCTTAGCCCGGGTTTCTATAAAGTGAAATCAATAAAAACCTACCAATCAGAAAATAGGCAATCAAGAGTTGTACCTAGAAGTTTTGGGGATGGAGCATACTCTATATTGGAGGTACCAACCAATATCATGATTTTTGTCTGCTATGTAAATAACCAAAAGGCTCTACCAAGTGACAGATTAGTTAAATACCAGTGTACCAGAAACTACCAACTGAAAATCTTTCTGCATATTCCAGTATTTTTTCTATGACTTTCCGGACTCTTTTGGCTCTTTCATACTTTTCTGCATCTCTAAAATACTTTGACCTCAGTGGCTAAATATATGGTATGATTTAATGCTAACCAGATTGTTTACTGTATGATACAAGAAAAAAATACAGACTTCCTCATTAATCTGAGATTCAGACATCTATAATCCTCAATGACGAGAGTGTAGGTGTCAACTGGGTATGATTCTAGAACACAGAAACCAGTTGGGAAATATGCAAAAAATGCTACCATAAAATCTGCATATGGAGCTAATCCATGTTTTTCTGAAAGAGTGATTTTAAAGGATAGCATTTAATTTATACACAAATGTTTAAACTTTGACTGTAGAATCATTTAAATTCAGCACGGGGCAATCATTTGAGGCCTTAAAGGTTAAATTACATAATTGGAACATCCTTAGAGATATGTAATCATTTTAATTTAATTTTTTAAAAAATCTAACTGAGAGTTATCTATTCCCCTCCTCAACCTCATAGAGATCTTAGGTGGATTCATGAACTATAGCTCCCAGAGTTTCATGCATTATGATGAGGAGCAACCATAGTTCAGCACCTCGGTGCTGAGGAAGGTACAGCTGCCTAAGTGTGGTTCCCATCTGAACTTTGCATTTTGCCTCCTATCCTCCAGTGTGCTCAGCAGCAAAGGTGGGGCTTTGGGGATGGGGGAGGAGTGAGGTGTGTGCAGGCTACAGCTGAGGGATGCATCTTTCCAAGCTCACAGAGCTGCTTCTTTATTACTTGAGGAGAGGAAGCCATGAGTATAATCCAGTTAAGTGGTTCTCAAATATTAATGGTCTATGAGTCTTTTGAGGAGCTTGTAAAAATGCAGATTCCTTATCCTCAGAGACTCTGACTCATTAACTCTAGAGTTGGGCCTGAAAAATCTGCATGTTCACAAACACCCTGGTGATTCTGAGTAGTTGGCCAATGAACCTTATTTTTAGAAACACTGACACAGACAATTCAGTTCTGCTGTCAGGGTGGGAGATATGGCAGCTGCAGGAAACACTGAGGTTCAATAATATCAGGCAGTTTGGAGGAAGGATTCAGTTGTGTTTGGTTGGATGGGTTTCCAACATTCACTTTCAAAGAACAGATAAAGCCCAGAGTCCAGCTCCAGTTTCCCAAGGGCTTCTACACACAAGGATTTCTCATTTCTTTCTTAGACTCCAACATTCCCAAATGGAATCTTAATCATAAAGTAGGTAATTTCTCAAACTGAAGGGTAAATTCTGAGTAATCAGAAGAATTCTTTGGCTTTCAGTAAGAACAAGAAAACTACAAACCAATAAGAATAAACGCCATGGCTATCAGAAAAGTGAGAAAATATCCTCTCAGGGGCTCATTGTTTTTCCCATATCCCTTTGCAAAGAACTGCAGGCCTTTGAAGATGTTGTCCTTGCACAGAGCCTAATGGGAAAAAAAAAAAAAAAAGAGGAGAAATTTGTCACTTATATCTATGCACAGTCATTTTCTCTAGGTGATTCAAACAAGAAGATTTGGGGAAAGATTAAGTGATACACAATATGAGGCACAAGTTAACACTGCAGTTTGTCATTCTTTATATTATTTGAATCGATCTTGACTATGTGGCAGACATAGCACTTGAGCCAGATGCAAACATTAACTGTTTCAGAAAATGATGGAAAATGATTGCCACCGAGAACGAATATTTTAGCTCAATCCACATTCCAGTGGAAGTAGCAGTAGGGAGAAGCACAGCTCCTTCATGCCTGTATTACCTGGAACACTTTGGGTGCACTGACGAGGGAGGCCAGGGCAGAGGAGAGTGTAGCCGAAAAGATTCCAGCAGTGATGAGGGGGCCAAACCCTGATACCATGCTCATGACCTTGAGAAGAAAGGGCCAAGTAAGGAGACTCATCCAATAGATGTTTAAAACATTAGCTCCATTTTAATGCAAATGCTTCCCTCTCCACTTTCTGTGATTTGGAATCTTTTATAACTAATTACTTCTAAGGAGATTGCGCCCCACCCCATAATTCTTAATATTTACTTTTTTTTTCAAAATGGAATTCGCATTTTTGTTATACACAGAATAATAAATGCTTACCACAATATTTTTAGAAGATACTGGAAAAAATCAAGAAGTAAATGGTTTCAAGGGTTTTGACAGCACTTTTCCCCTCTCTGTTCTTTGTGGTTATTTAGTTGTAGATGGACACAATACCTTTATTTTACTTTTTTATTTTTATGTGGTACTGAGGATCAAACCCAGTGCCTCACACATGTTAGGCAACTGCTCTACCTACCACTGAGCTACAACTCCAGGCCAGTCATATGTTTCTTTGATGATGAAAAATTCTATCCAGCAGAAAGTGGTATTTTAGTAAGGTTTGGGAAGGGACTCAGCTGTTTACCAGTCTTTTTAGAGGCTTTTTCTAGGTCTTTCTGCACAGAGCCTTTTCAAACCTTTGCTTTTTCTGTGCTGACTAAACATAATTTTAGATCTGAGACATGATGAGATTCTATCAATTTAAGACATATTTTGGAATAATGACTTCAGCTGAGTTAATTTCTCTGCACCAGTTGTTAAAATAGATGAATGAAGACTTTATGACACATTTAATTCTCTCTCTCTCTCCTCACCAATCATGCAGATAAATCAATGTTTCAAGTCCTACATATTTCTAACTTCCCTTATTCTTTCCTCCTCACTTTCTCCCTCCTTTCACAGTTTCTCTCTTTCTCTTGTCTTCTGGGTACTCCAGGGGCTCCTTACAGGGTTTTCCTAAGCCAAAATCCACAGATGAAATGCATTCCAAGTGCCAATTGATCTAAGATTCTTTCCACCATGAAATCTTGCATGACTGATCAAAAGGTACCTAGAGCCAGGTGGTACTCTCTCCTGGTGATTAATTCATACAATTGCCTATTGTCTCCCTACCACAAGTAAATGTAACCCCAGGAATTGCTACTGCAGAATGCCTGTATCACTCTTTTTCCCATGCCACACAAATTGTTTCTCGCTGAATTCACAAGTCAATCAGTAATCAATCAGTTGCAGGTTCAGAAGCTTCCCTATCTCTAATATTATAAAAATAAAAACAACAGCAAAAACCATTTTATACTTATTGTTATTATTTTTTGGCAGTTCAAACCTGGAAATTGTTCATCAGCCCATATTGACATGGTTCATGGCGACATCTTGAGAAATCATAGCCCAACCCACAGGCTGCTGACCCGTTGCAGTTCACCCCAGAAATGATGGTGTCATTCATGCTTCCAGTGGCATCTCGGACCACACAGGCTGCTGTGGAGACAATTATGGCTTGTCATTTCTTTAGAAGGATTCTCATCCCTATGATTTTCTTGTGAAAAAACACTAAATTGACTTTGAGTCTGAAAAACTTATTCCCAATCTCTGTTCATGGCCAGTGCTTCTTGGGATGTGGCTCCTGGAGGCTCCCATCCTTTGAGTCCCGGGAGTGGCCCTGTCAGAATACAGGCTGACATCTTCACCGTCTTGAGTGGTTTAAGTCTTAGCTCTCAACAGCTACTCTGAGAGACCTGGGGGTTAAGACCGCCTTACTTTTTGATCTCTGAAAATGTGCATGGCAATATTTTGCACACAGTATATACTCAATTCATATTTCTGGCTTAGTGCTACTGACCACATGCTTTTCAAGTAGAAGGAAATATTTCCTTGTCAGTGAGGGAAACAAGGGAAAGCATTATGGAATTAAATTTAATATTTGTGGTCAAATGTTGTATCAAACATCTCTCTCAGTTAATCCCTTTTATTATTTTCACACGTTTGAGTATTTGTTCTTTTTCTATTACAAATATTCTATAATAAATATCTTTGTGTATAAATTTTTCTTCTTTATTTCAAAACATTTCTCTAGGGGGCTGGGGATGTGGCTCAAGTGGTAGCGCGCTCGCCTGGTATGCGTGCGACCCGGGTTCGATCCTCAGCACCACATACCAACAAAAATGTTGTGTCCGCCGAGAACTGAAAAATAAATATTAAAAATTCTCTCTCTCTCTCTCCCTCTCTCTCCCNCTCTCCCTCTCTCTCCCCTCTCTCACTCTCTCTTTAAAAAAAAAAAAAAAAAAAAAAAAAAAAAAAAAAACATTTCTCTAGGATAGATTCTCAGAAATGGAATTTTGACCATTTTAAAGACTCTTGATATATATTTTAACTACTGATTTTCCTTGAGTTTTTCTGGACTGTATTTACCATTCTGTATTTGGTAGGATTATTGAAATATATGTGTGAAATATACATAAACTTTAAAAAATTACATAAAGGATAAATATTATGCAAATGAAATGCCAACCAATAAAGCTGCTTACATCGCTTTTCACACTCTACCCAGAATAGGTTCTAATTAAGACAGGTCCCAGTGTCAGGAACTAATAACAGGAACCTTCAGTGTTAGTCATGGAATTCACATTCTTTGAGCCTGGGAAAGACTTAATAATCATAGAATCTTTGAATTGAAGGAGCCACTAACAATAATCAGTGAATCCTTCTTATCATAACCCTGAAGTGTCCTGCCAGCCTCTGCTTACACACTCCAAATTATGACTGTTGATTACTGAGCAAAATTATTCATTCTAAATTTTTACCTTTTTGCATTGTTCATTTATGTCAAACTGACTTTTATGAACCATGTATTTTAACTTCTGAATAATAGGTCTCTCCAAATTCTCATGAAGCCAGGCCATGAGCCATTATCTGAATTAACAACAACAACAACAGCAATAGCAACAACAGAAACAACCAGGTTGTTGACTCCATGGCTGCTCTGGGAAGGATACAGAAATGCAGATTTTTTCCCCCTTACATATAGGGGGGCCAAAACAGGAAGAATCTCTGACATCAGATCTCTAACTTGCTCATTCCCTCATCTTTATTATGTGTGTGTGTGGGGGGGGGGGGATGGGGAAATTTAGGTGATTTCATTGTCATTTAAAAGTGCGTTGATTTTCTAAAGCATTGAAACAAAGTCTCTTTACATGTAACTAAACTTGGAAATGACACAACAATACATTTAACAATGTTATCCAATTTTCTCCAATAAGAGGCAGTGAGATAGGCAAGAATCAAAGGGTTTTGCTTTTGTTTTTCATTATCTTTCAGAAACCAACTTAAGTTCTATGTGTTTTCCCAGTTTCCCCTACAGGAAGCAGAGAACCACTGAGAAGTCCACTTTGGTAAAACAGTCATCAGTCCTCCATAGTCGACCAGCCTGGGTCTGTATTTTCTAATGTATACAGAAAAGGGTTTTCTTGTCTGCATCTCGGGAAGCCAAATTTCTCTCCTGCTATGGCCTAAATATGGGGCAAGGGGATGGGGCAACCAGGAATAGGTGTGACTGCAGGCAGCAGGTGGAACTGAAGTCATACTCAGGAACAGCAGGAAAATACACATATTTTCCGCTCAGTGAGCAATATGGGGGCTGGCCGCCCACATTGCCAGCAGCTGGGTCTTATTCTGATTTCCTGCCAATTGGTGACAGTGACATTTCCATATTAGACATGACAGTACAAAGATGAGATACTCTCATAAATTCTACATTTTTCATACTTTCCTAAGGCCATTTCTTGTTTTGTTTTAGTTTGATTTTTTTTTTCAGTCTATTCTTTACCTTCCTCCTAGGGGAAGGGAGATGGGTGCTAGAAGCCGAGGGTTTTCTTAGCAGTGAAATTATCACCCATGGGAGCAGAATGGGGCTCTCTTTGGGTTCAGGCAAAATGACAATCTGATGAGCTCTGCTCTTGCACTGACCCAGGATGCTTGCTTTACAGCTCAATTGCATTAAAAGCCAAAAAGATCCAAACCATTAACATTTAGGTACCAAGAAAGGCAGTAAAATTGTTGCCTTAAAAAAAAAAAAAAACAACTCAGGTTCCATTGAAAGCCCTCCAGACATAAAGAATGACTGGGCTCCTTGTACTTCTGACATTCTGATACCAGACACATACAACTTACCTACACAAATAGCAACCCCTATGTAGGCAACCGTGGTGATGAAAATGGCCAGCATGGTTCCCCTAGGGATGGCATCTTGGGGGTCCTTTCAAAAAATAATGTGGGAGAGAAGACAGGGCAGAATAATAAACATAGTTTGCTTGGAGTTATTTCTGTATTTTCAAATTTTTAAGATACACTTCCTAAGACAAATTCTAAAGAAGTGATGGAGAAAATGGCAAGGTGGTGAGCTTGAACTTTTTCTGGATGAAGACAAAGTGCTTAAAGCAAATTATGAATCCTGTAAAACTTTTGTGCTGAACAGACGACATTTCTCACTGCCCCAGAGGGAGATTTTATAGAAAAGTACATTAGGTAGTTCACTTACCAAGGCCTCTCCCTTCCCTTTGTCTCCTATGATTTTGTGTGGCTGCATCAGACCTTAAAGCATTAGGGGACAATATACAAACACATTGATGATACCTGCATGTGTGTGTTTGTTTTATATTGAGCTTAGGCTTGCCTTTAAAAAGAAATCACTTGTGAGTGAGCAAAAAGCTTGATCTACCAAATTCTTCAATTTCTCAAATCCCCATTTGGAATCTAGTTCAGAAATAATCACAATGGGAGATGTTTAATTTCCATAAGCAGGCATAAATAAGGGCAAATTCAAGCTTATACCAGAAAATGGGCTTCTCTCTTGCTCATAAATGTATATACATTCACTAAGCTGAGTTCACATCATATTTAATTTACCATTTTATATCCTATTTGGGGGGCTAAATCATATCAAATCAATTTCCAAGCAGCATATTGAATTATATTCAATTCAACTTAACAAGAATTATCAAATAGAGATTTTAATGCATTCGTTGTTTATACAGGACAGTGCCTGGCATATAGTAGGAGTCAATAAATATTGAATTGGGRGAAGTAAAATCCCAGTAGGCATTAGTCTCCCACTAGAGGACAAGAAAACTCATCAATACAAATAAGCAATCAATACAGTCAAACAAAAGTTTGAGACTTTTTTTTCTTAAATTATGCTGATTAAGTCCATCAAAAAGGTCACTCACAGTGAAGGTAGACTCACTGTGACACCTGGAAACCACAACTGAACCAAGCAAACCTGCTCTCACATGGAGTAAGCCAGACTGTGGAACCATTCTGTGATCACTACCCCTCCCTACCCCCCACACTCTCCTAYGAATATCAGCACACACTACTGTTTGCAAAAGTCAGTGTGGCAGGTGTGTGCAGTGGAGAAGCTCAAAGAAATAAGAAGGTATCTGTGGATTTTATGGGCCTCAATTTCCTTGTTTATGTTATATTTCAAAATTTATTTATTTATTTAACATTTTTTAGTTGTCTATGGACCTTTATTTTATTTACTTATATGTAGTGCTGAGAATCAAACCCAGTGCCTCACATGTGCTTGGCAAGTGCTCTACGACTGAGCCACAACTCCAGTCTCCAAATTTACTTATTTGATTAGAGATTTCTTGGGATCTGAGTGAAACGTGAATTAATTTAAGTGGGAAGAAAGAAAATGTACATGGATAAGAAGGGTGAAGATGGAAGGCAGTTTTGTAATTAAAAGACAAAGAATTGGTGTTTATTTATGACTATTACAAGCTTTAAAATAACTTAATAGAAGTTACATGAAGGTCAAATTTGATTTATATGTTAAGGCATAAATTGTGATGACAATATATTAATATATGATTCTATATTATAAGATCAGAAAAAAATGGAATTATCTTGTCTGGATACCTATAGACAGGGTTTGCAACTTTGAAAAATTCTTAAGTTTTCACTCTAAAATATCAATTTCCTTCCTTTAGCAGTAACCCCAAATCTAACTTTCTTCTACAATTTTTCATTAACATCATATTCTTTTCTAGTACTGAATATAAATAATCTATTATATTGCTGCTTTTTGAGTATGAAAACCACATCCCGATTTTGCATTTCTGAAATCATATCTTAACTCTCTTGATTAGACTTGGGTATTTCATAAATCTTCTCCCAGGTATGTATTTACAGACCATCTATATTGTATTATTAGCAAATGAAAGGCTTAGGATGTGAACTCTGTAGTGTCCCTTGTGCCAACTCTTATTTTTTACATACATATTTTTAGTTGTAGATGGACAAAATACTATTGTTTCTTTAGGTTTTTTTGTTTTTGTTTTTGTTTTTGTTTTTTTATGTGGTGCTGGGTATCAAATCCAGTGCTTCATGCATGCCAGGCAAGTGCTCTATCACTGAGCCACAATGCCAGTCCCCTTGTGCCAACTCTTGATGGGCCATCTTGAGAAGGGTTCTGAGACTTTGAGCAGATGTAAGCACTTTGCATCTCCCTATTTTGTGTGAACAATAAATATTTACTCAATTGAACTGAATCTATTATTTTTAGTTTCACACTCAGATAGGAATAATATCCGTAAGTACTGATGATTCCTTGTTATTTCCCAGCATATTGTCACCTTTCAGAACATAACATACTTTACTACTCTGGCTTTTGGCCACATTACTTCTTCTTGAGGGATCCCCCCTTTTTTTTCTTAAATTTTTAAAATTTGTTTTAATTAGTTATACATGACAGTAGAATGCATTTATGCACTTTGATATATCATACATAAATGGGATATAATTTCTCACTTTTCTGAATGTACATGTTGCAGAATCATATTGGTCATGTAGTCACATATATACATACAGTAATAATACCGGTTTCATTCTACTATCTTTCCTATCCCCACATCCCTTCCCCTCCCCTCCCATCACTTTTCTCTACTTAATCTAAGGTAAGGCTATTCTTCCCTAGTGTTCCCCACCTTATTGTGAATTAGCATCTGCATATTAGAGAAAACATTCGGCCTTTGGTTTTGTGGGATTGGCTTATTTTGCTTAGAATGATATTCTCCAACTCCAACCATTTACTGGCAAATGCCATAATTTCACTCTTCTTTAAAGCTGGGTGATATTCCATTGTGTGTGTGTGTGTGTGTGTGTGTGTGTATCATATTTTCTTTATTCATTCATCTATTGAAGGACACCTAAGTTGGTTCCATAATCTAGCTATTGTGAATTGAGCTGCTATAAACATTGATGTGGCTGTGTCACTACAGTATGCTGATTTTAAGTCCTTTAGGTATAAACCAGGATTCCCTTCTTTTGACTGTTATGACCCCAGTGTTTCTTGGCTTCCCTTACCTCTTAGAAAGCTCTTTCTCTTTTTACATAATGGATTTCCTTTCACCCATTAATAATTTGAATGTCTGTGTTTCCCTGAGTGCTGCCTTGGACCTCTATATTCCTCCCTCTTGCACAAACCTGGGTGAGTTCATCCAGGTTGTGGTTCCAGTCCTGCCCTCTCTCCTTTCCAGAGTTCTAGGCTCATCCATCTAGTTACTTATTAGACATCTCCACACTGGTATCCTTCCATTTCAACCTCAATGGCCATGTTTGTTTCTTTTTCCTCAACTACTGTGCCATGAATTCAATTCAAAAAATTCCGCTAGTGTTAAAAAAAAAAAAAAAAACAATAGAATAGAACTGATGTGAAACTATCAGAAATGAAGAACCATTTGAAGAAAATTTYAAAGTGTGCATTTGGTTATGATGTATAATGTTTTCTTGCTGTGGATCACTTTGAAAACATTCTTTCAATTTCTTTTTMCCAACTCAAATTAAAGTTTACCCCTTTGATCCTTTTCCCCTGCTTAGTCTTAATTCAGGCACTGAGTTAGTGCTAGCTAAGCTGAACTGACTACCAAGCATCTAATACAAACTAGTTTTTAAGAAGTATAAGGAAAGCATAATAATCTTTAATTTGAAAGTATGCTTACAGTTCGCAGAAATTTAAATGAGTGACCTTTGACTTCCAGTGCTGAGAAACCAGAAGTTGAACATCCATAATTAAATTTCATTAGGTGTTAATACTTACTACTTGAATCGTTTTGAATAATTTTCTTGACTTTTCTGAGCTTCATCATAATCTTTTCTGTCATTATCTCTGCTTAAGAATTTATCACAGCACCGTGGTCCCTAACATAACAAATCTAAATGCCTTAACTAATTAAACTCAATAAATATTTACCAAAGCTAACTTTGAAAATACAGCAGTGAATAAACTGAAGGCAAAAATCTCCACTTGCAGGGAGTCACATTTTGTGGGAAGCACCTCTCCCTCAAGTCCCTCCCAAGGTTTTCCAGCCTTATCAGGATTTTTCCCATTGAAATAGACTCCTCACTGTTCCCACAGTTTCCTCATGCTTGACCACCCTTGTCTTCTCTGCCTGGAATTGCTTGGTATTTCCTCACCAATAGTCAGCAGCTAGTCTTGGTTTTCATTTCAGGTTCAAAAATTACCTCCTTGAAATCATCCCTGACTAACTGAACAATTGTTCAGTATTTTTATGTCATGATCCACTAGGACAGTGCATATGCTTCCCACTTATACATATCTCCTGATGATTCTTGAAAATATTTCTTATCTTCTGAAGTTGATTATAAATTTATTGAGGTAAAATCTGAATTGTTTGTGTGTGAGTTAAAACCTGTTCCTTCTCTTTTTTTTTTTTTTAGACATACTTCTTATTTCTCCCTAATATCCATCCTCATCTTCCTCCTTTTAATACTAGAACCCCTTCAATTTTTTTCTGGCACATTATACCCAGTTGAAGACTACATTTCCCAGACTCCTTTGAAACTGTGGAAGGTCTTGAGACCAAATTCTAACCAATGGAATACCAGTAGAAGGGATCTGCGCAAAGTTTGGGAATTGCTTGTTTCTACTTCCTTATGCYCTTGCTTGTGGCCTGGAATGTGATCCTGGAAATGATTAGTCATCTTGGACCTTGCAAATGAGGGCAAATCCTAATGTAATAGTGAAACAAGAGAGCTCATCTGAGTTCCTGGGCTACTTTTTAAAGCAGACTTTTCTTTAAAGGAATGGCCTATGAGCTCAGGTGTTTATGTACTTACAAAAAAAAAAAAACAAAAAAAAAAACTTCTATCTTATTTTGGCCACTGTTTGTTATCTTTAATAAAACATTAAAACTAAAATTTTAATATAACAATTCTTTCAGTATTTAGCAGGATAATATGAATGGAGTGCAAAGTAACAATATTGTTGTTTTTTTTTTGTTATGCTTTTGCTTTCCCTTAAATGTTCCATGTTCTTATTAATTATGGCTTGAAAAGAGAAGGGGTGGTTTGGATAGTTTCTCACTGAACTATATTCATTTTGTTGGAAAACTGATATCATGTCAATATACTCAATTGTTCTGATATCACTAATTAAGACTTTTGGAAGAACTATCTGGAATATGAATATAAATTGAGCATTAAAAGAGAGAACTTTAAGTAGCCAGGAAAACTTGCAGAAATTTTATAGTTTTGAATCTGTAGGGAAATGGGGTCACATTCAATCTCTTAGATCCCTGGGCTGTCCATCAACTGCACTACCATGAACTACAAAGCAGAGAAAACAGCATACCTCCAAATCTCCCGAAATATTGGCACCAGCAAGAATCCCAGTAGCTGCTGGGAAAAAAATAGCAAAGACAGAGAAGAAGCCTTCTCCTTTTGTGAAGCTTGGTCCAAAGTTTTCTGCAAATATTGATGCTACAACACAAATTACAAGAAAATTATCATGTAGACTTTTTTCACAGAGTAGAAAACCTTTGGCTTCTATAACTCTAAATGCAAATATATCTCAAGAGTCTAACTGGGATGAACTGAAAGATGCTGTTGTACTCCTGATGGATTTGTTAGTATTTGCCAACAGTCAAAATGTATATCATAAGACTTCAGAGCTCTATGATATAGCTCTAAAAAATCAGTAATTTTTTGTGTTAACAGAGATCCAGGATGCCTGACTTCTTTGAGTCTTGAAGAGATTGAAAGAGAAGATGAAAAACTCTTTTATCATCATACTGGCACATTCACAAAGTATACCATATACATTCACACATACCATGTCCCCCCACCAACTACATACTCATATGCATACATACCTGAAACAAGCAACATTCTTTTTTTTATGCTTTTAATTTAAATGATAGGAGAATTCTGTGGGTGAGGCTACTTGAAAATGTTATTATTAATTTTCTAATCTCTTTGCCTCTTGCCCCCAGAGTTTGGATCTTAGATCCTTATACCAAATTCTCATATGTGAGAGAGTAGTGCCTTTTCCCTACAGTAAGACTGTCTCACAGGTTGCCATCATATTACTTAAGTGAAAGGAAACAATCTAGAAGAAAAACAGAAAGGAAAAAGAAAAGGAGGAAGAAAATCATGAACAAAAGAATCAGATGCAAAGAGGAAAGAAAATTTAAGACATCAGAAAAAAAAATACCATATGAATGGGAAAAAGGGAAAAGAATAGAAAGGAAAAGAATGTTCATGTCTAAAGCAAACAAGATAATCTTTACAGAGAAAGAGACTCAGGAAGATAGAGGTAATGTGATTTTTTTTAAAGAAAACAAATATGGACAACTGAACAAATAATAAAGTGAAATACAAAACAAACTCAGCAGTGGATTCCAGGGTGGAAAGGTAGGAACAAGTGGGTGTGTGGAACAGAATAGGAGACAGAGGTCAAATTCCATGCTTGGTGATGTTATCACAGGATGCTACACTAAGTAAACCTATAATTCTTCATGCTTAAAAACCTGACACTGATGCAACTAGGTAATGCCACAGCAAGGTTAAGATGCCAAAAAATCTACCAGGAAGGAAAAAAAAATGTCTTTGTTTGACTCTAGTGCTCTGCACTGGTTGAACAAATTGTTCAAGCTGTGTTCTCTTTCCCTGCATGTAATTTCTATTCCCACTACTTGACAGCAACAATTTGTCCAGCATTTTAAGGTTTACAAGGCACTTTCATAACAACTATCTCATTTACTTTTCAAAATTCCCTCAGGAAGTTATTATTATCATCACCCATACATTTAGCAGGAAAATCTGAGACCCAAGCACATCAGGTGATCTGTCCAGCTGATAAACAGTGGATTTAAAATTCAACCCTGTCTCTCCCAAATCCAACTCTAGWATGTGGATGTGGTCTCTTTCCTGGGCTATGCTGGAATTCTGTTGGCTGTGATTGGGGGATAGGGACAGTGATGTGGGGAGCAACATGGGTTGAGGAGAAACTAATCTGTCATCTGTACCTTGGTAATTGAAGAAGCCTCTGGATTTCTTCTCATTGTTGGATGGAATGACAGTCCCAATGAAGAAGTTTGCAATTGCAATGAGAAGAATAATCAGAAGAATCACTTGAGCCTGGAACGGCAAAATGAAAGGGGATCAAATTAGATTTAGTTAACAACTTTTCACATAATTGTAGAAGTTATTGTCCACTGGAGAAAGACTCTGCTTATTCAATAAGGCTCTGCTCCCCACTGTCAGTGATAAGTGCATCCTTATGGACTATCATCTTAACAGACCCTCTTCTACTTAGATGTAACGGCTGCATTTTCAGTTGGAGTATGTGCTTGGGTACTTGGAGGTGAMACTTCAAGAACATTTCAAGTAGGAAGTGGGAAACTACCACAGTAACTTCCAGGAATGTAACTGGAGCCAGAAGGCTTAACTTGTACAGATTTGAGTTCTTTTCCAGGCAGAGTACCTATGAATTCTTCCTCTACCTACTGCAGAAGGCCTACCAGAGAACGGAAGGGTTCATGGAATTTCCATCATGCCCTTAATGTCAGGCTGCCAATGTGTGCTCATGTGAACAGTCTACTACTGGCCAAATGGTCTTCCTTCAGTTTCTGAAACTTTTCAAATGGTGTACCTGCTTGACATCACCATATACTGTTGGTGTATGTACTCTAGCAAGATCTCACTTCACCCTAGTCTTCATGTATCTATTTCCTGCATCCTATAAAGTCTCTGTGACCTCCTCAAAGAGCCCTCTCCTGCTACTTGATCTGAACTACAAGCACCTCATTCACTGAGGGCTTATAATACAACAGATGAAGCTTTAAATTTTAATTTTGAGGTGGAACACTAGAGATTGAACACAAGGGTGCTTTACCATTGAGCTACATCCCTAACCTTCCCTCATCTTTTATTTGTTTTTGTTGAGACAGAGCCTCACTAAGTTGCTGAAGTTAAATGATTTACTCAGGTCACAGAGATATAAATCAGATTCAAATCTAGGCATTCTAACTACAAAGGTGAAGTTTTAAATACTACCCTCTACTGCTCTGGAACTACTTTGTCTCCCTTGGGGCATAAAGTAATCTAAAACCAGTGTCCTTTTACTTCCTCCTTTTGCTTGTTGCTTGCTTGCTAGCTTTCTTTATTTCTTCCAGGTCCTAGGGATTAAACCCAGGGCTTGTACAGACTAAGCAATCACACTACCACTGTGTTATACTCCCAGCCCCCTTGTTATTTTCTAATATCCCAGTGTCCTGTTATCTCCTTGATAGTATATTATATCATTTTCTATTTGTTTTTCTATTTACTTACTCATCTATCCATAGACCAGATGCTGAACTGCTACAGGGATTATGCTTGTTTTGGTCACAACTGAATTTCTAGTACCTCGCAGAAGGCCCAGCACATGGCAGACACTGTTTAATGTGTGAATATTGCTTAACTTATGAGTATATAACCCAGAARTAGATGCCATGTTGGAATGTTTTCCTACTCCCTTATAGGGGTGGGAGGCTTTGAGGATCTTTCCATTTCTGGTGACCACTTGAGAACCAGTTACAGTGTCTCCAGGCTTGCAGAATATTTTCAGTGGCACAGATTCTTGTGTGGAGTTACAAAAGAGGCAAAAGACATGCTCCCTGTCATTCAGAAATTTACTCTCTACTTTAAAATCTGCCAGTTAAATTCAGATGTATTCTGGTTCCAAAGCCTGTAACATATTAAAATTTGCTGGTGAAATTCTGGGTTCAAGAGGAAAATAATAGTTCTGCCTCTGCTACCTTTTCCCAACGCACCGTCACTTCTTTTGGGTTTCAGCACCCATGGGCAGCTTGAAAGGGAATACCAGGGCTTGTGGTTGAAACATGGGCTTCTAGTATGCACTGCGGTTAGGGTCATAAGGGGTCTGGGCATGAAGATGGAAGCAACTTTAGTGGCTGTGTCACTGGGATGACACAAAGGCCCAAGCACAGGCCGACAATGTGACACACAAGCTGTGAGGCATGACAAGACTTGGTGCTTTGTGAGCTGGAGGTTCCACCTAGCACTACTAAGTGGCTCCTTTTGCCATAGCAAATAGCCATTCTTTTTGAATATGGGGTTMTCTCGATTTCTGCAATTTGTTCAGAACCTGACCAGCAGTTGATAACACCATTTTGAGAAATTCACCTTTGCTTCCCATTCCATTCCAGCTACTGAAATTCCTAGGAGAATCACTACTGTGATGGAGCCTATTATCCGGATGTCATTGGTTGGATCCACCATCATTGAATCACTTTCCTAAAGGTAAAAAATCAATAGTGATTAGAGAWAAAACTTTTTGCATATAGATATAGATACAACTTTTTGCATATCTTATTGTAACATTTAACAGTAAGAAGAGATTTTTGTATACTGATGCCTGGGGCCATTAGGACAATAGAAAAATAAAGTGCTCATAAATTTGAGAAGATAAAGAATCTACCTTTTTTTTTCTGTGATAATAGACCTTGGATAGCCAAGGTTAGGAGTTAGAAATTTTAGAGATTCAGTATAGTCACAGCTTTTAAAGCCTACTGTAGCACTAAGTAAAAGCATATATGCATATATTGTGCTTTGTTTCAGAAGAATGATTAGTTATTTTAGGGTATCAGGGGGAATTCTAGAGGAATACCAATGAKTTTTTTTAACAATGTGAATATTGGAAAATTATTCTTAAAAGTCCATTTAAGAATAGACAACACAAACCTGATAATGCATTTCTTGAAGATAATATGCCTTACAAAGTATGTAAATGCTCATGATTCATATAATTTTAAAATACAGGTCATTTTATTAATTGAATTCAGTGTGCAYCATTGCTACCATAAGACAAAGATCATAAGTTAGTTTGTACACAAGCCAATTAGCATGCTTATCCCTACACCATTCTAGTTTGGGCATCTAAAACGAGGAAATACCTAGTTTTCTGCAGTGGGTTATTCTAATGTTTGAACTTTCTTTTCCTTTGGAAATCTGTAAGCGTAATAGAAGTATGACTATCTGATTTTTCATATTTTGCTCAGTGTTTCATGTGTCATTTCATCTGATCTATACCATTCTACCATGAAACACATAGAACAGTATTATTAACCCATTGTATAGATCTGGAAAACACACTTCAGATGAACAGTGGAATTGGTCCAGAGTCTCCCAGTTGGTAAAGCGAGAGCTGGAATTCAAAGCCAGAACTTCTGAGGTCATGTCTGAGGCTCCTTTTCCTATATCCAACTTTCCCCCTCTCATCTTGCCATAATAATATCCCCATAACCCCCTAAACCCTGGAAAAAGAAATACATTATCTTGCTTGACTGTATAAAGAAAAACTTTACTTACCTTAAGAAGATCTACCACAGTTTCAGCAAATCCCACCACATACATAGCAACAGCCACTGCATTGGCAAAAGCAAAGATCAAGCCTATTGACCCACCAAACTCAGGCCCTAAGCTCCTGGAAATAAGGTAGTAGGCTCCACCTGAAATAAGAAAGGAACATGTTTTACATTGAGTAATTGCCAAGAATTTAATTTACATGATCAAATGATTTTGAAAGTCTGAAAAATTTTAAATGTTAATTATTCTAATAAAGCATGACAGCTTTCTAATAATTTTAGGGCTCCTGTGTCATCATAATGAATAACCTAGCCATTCCTTGTACTCTGTATGTAATCTACAATAGAAGTATCCTGACTTAATGAATTCAATTTATTGAAACTTAAATGCAAAAAAAATGTTCTATGCAAGAAATTTTTATCAAAAAATGCTTTGTCTTTAAAAAATATCACTGTAGTATTCAGATTAATAATGTGATTGCAGTAAAATAAAACTTTATGTCCAAAATTTTCAGAARCAAACAGGCCTAGAAAGAAAATGAAGTGGAAGAAGTTGGTCTTTATTCTTTCAACTTCCTTTTCTATCCCATAAAATGTTCTTGGATACACTTGCTGTATAAAACAAGGTATCAATATAATGCTACATATTGTTCCTTCTAAAAATCAGACTTGGTTTTTATGTTTTTAGCTCAACAAGGCATGATTATTGCCAAATACCATAATTGGGGACCAAGTGGGAGGCAAAGCAGGAAAGGTTTGGAACAATTGCCTCTTCCTTGGCCATGTCTGTGTCCTCCTGTGTACAGGAAAGACTAAGCTGACTGGTCAACAGCCTGAATCGTACCTAGAGCAAGTTAGTGATGTATTAGAAAAAAAGAAAAAGCTATATGAGAGAGCCCTGATTATTTAAAAGACCATCACAACAATTTTCTATATGGAACTAGTCTTGGAGGTAGGCACAGTGGACTTGGACATAACATTGAACAAATGCACTGAAAAACAGGAAAACCACCTTCTACTGAGAAGGAATTTCTTTCACTAGAGTAACTGCTTTGGGTTAAGTGACCAAAGACTTCTCTAAAAATGTAATGTATTTTCTGGGTAGAGCAAATCCACATTATTTCCTTTAGCTTGTTTCATTAAACAAGTTAGCTAGACAGTTAAATAGGTAGGCTTGGTCGAAATGAGAGTCAGGCAGAAGTTGGCAGAGGAAGTATTTTGTGGGTGGGATGGTGTTTTAAAGGCCCTGATCAAGAAGACCTGGTCCCCAAAAAAGTAGACCCCCAAAAGCCAAAGGAAAGGCAATGAGGAAGAAAAGAAGTTAGAAGAACAATAATGAATTTCATCCACTTCATTTTCTATCTAGGCCTACCTGCTGCTGATAGCTTGCAAACTTTTTGTTTTTATTTTCTTCTTGATGATCTTTTCATGCCTGTTGGCCATGAGGAGCATATTGTTTGGGGTGAACCTTGAAGGCTGGGCACAGGATGATTTACTGAATGGGAATCATCACTAGTGTCAGCTAGGGTGCTAGAGAAGACCTATCCTGAAGGGACCTAAGAGAAGGCTGGCAGGAATCTTCCTTGTATAAAAATAGACCTCATATTTTGTTGTATTCCATACTTTCTTACTAAACAGATAGTCACTCTATAAAAAAACCATGTTTTATCCTAGGAACTAGGTAAAAGAGGTCTTTTCTGGAGATCCCCTAATTTTAATTGAGAAGCATGTTGCMTTGCTGTTTAATTTTTTTTTTTAAACTTTGGAGGCTAATTAGCAACATGAAAATTTCGCTCCCAGTATTAGACCACTTTAAAAATTGCTCTGTAACCTAAGCTCGTAGTCATAAGTAAATTAATTGACTTACCTCCTCGTACTACTCCATTTGTGCAAATAGCAGACATAGAAATACCTGTGAGTGTTGTCACTACCACACTCAGGCCAATGATGACGACTCCAAGACCTGCAAAATCCCCCAAGAAAGGTGTTTGGCTCCAGAACTGAGATAAGTCACCAGGACTTCAGGATGCAGCAGTCTGTCTGTCAGAGAAGGATCCGTCTCCCCATGAAAACCTGAAATGTTCTAAAAGATCCCCATTCCATGGAGGTCTAGGAAGCACCTGAAATGTACTAAACTTTAAAACCGAAGCCATGTGGAGGAGTCAGTTTCTATGAAACACCAGCAACAGGTGTGCAGACTTGCCTGAAAAATAAAATGTTTACCAGAGGCATTTGTGCATCTGTGAAGCTTGACCTGCAATGTGCCAGAGAGGTCTATGAGAAAGGAGACCAGAGCTGACCAGAGGAGACCTGGACTATACTCACCATACCTGATGCTTCCCTCTGCATCCAGATCCTCCAGACACTTAGCCAGGCTTCAAGAACACAGAGCTATTTCCTTGTTCTCAACAAAAACAAGTATATAAAAAGTTTTTGCATACCCGTAGTAAGTGATGAGGGTATTAGATATCTTAGAGATTTTACCTCCACGAACAAACCCGTTAGTTGCTATTGCAGAAGTTGACAACCCAGTAATAGAAGTTACCATGGTGGAAAGAAGAATTATGAGAACTCCAAGACCTGTTAGCAATGAAAGATAGAAGATATTATATTTCACTTTTCTCCTATGGTTTCCTTACTTCTGCAAACTATACAGCTTTTAATTTGAGTTTCCAAGTCCATGTCTTGGGCCCCAATGGGGTTTCTTGTGCTGAGGAGAGACTGGTATGCCTGGCATAAAGATCAAGTCTGAGAACCACTCGTTATGATGAAGGATGGTTTCCCAAAGTAAACACAATCTAAAATGCAGCCCTGGAAAGGAAAAGTTGACTTATGCTGGTGTCCTGGGAGAGAAACTACCCTGGCTGTGAAAAGAGAAAACATGACATTTGACCTTCTCTCTTGCTTGAGAGGAACATGAATGAGAAAGTTGGGGATTTGACAAAGGTTAAATCCTTCTCCATTTTTCTTGCATCCCTTTGCTGGTGGGGAGGGAAAGAAAGGAACCAACTTGTATTACCTTTGAAAACACTCCCAGAAAGGTCAGTCGTGAGCTATTTGAGCCTGTGTTGCCTTTACCTTACAAATGATGTTGCGGGTCACAAGTTTAATTACCTCCTCTGACATATCCATTTGTGGCAATAGCAGAGGTGGATAAACCAGTGATACCAGTCACTGTCACGGCTAAGCCGATGATAATCACACCAAGACCTCAGTTGAGAGAGGAAAAATAAAGGAAATTAAATGGTGGAACAATCTATTGGGTCATTTGCCTAAAAACTAACAAACCTAAGGTCATCACTGAAGGACGACATTTGAGAATCACARGTTGGCCAAGAAATCATCAATCAATCAATGTTCAACTTTGAAGTTTTCTGTCAAGAGCTAAAATGTGCAAAGCTATGTTGCATGCAACTGAACAACTGAAATGGGTCAAAATATAATTCGAACCCTGGGGTTAGTGACATTCTAGAAACCAAAGAACAAAAAACAAATCTATACTATCCCAAGCTATTAATATAACTGTAGMTCAAATGTGATTCCTCCTAGTTAACTTTCTTTTTTGTACATTGGTCCTGTAGGGGTGGAAAATTACATACAGGATAGCAAACTGTTCATCGGACAGACGGGTAAGGTAGAAAGAATCAAATCAAACTACATTAACTTACTGGCTGTGTGACCTCTGGCAGGCTACTTATTTTCTGAGCCAAAGATGGCAATTGAGTTAGAAAGAATGCATATGTTAAGTTGCTACCATAGTACATAGAACATAGTACATAATCAAGCTTTTTCACTGTATTTGCAACAGTCATAAAGGCTACTGTTTATTAAAAGCTATATATATATATATATATATATATATATAGCTTTGTGGTAGGTAGTGTGAGAGCCTCAAGAAAAAATAATATGAAATGAAAAAAGCTGCCCTTGAAGATCTAACTGTTCAGAAGGTTAATGAACATAACGAAAGGAAGAAAGTGGTAGAGGCCAGAATTTGGAGGAAGGCCTGACTACTTTAGGACACTCAAAGATGACAGAATTTGCCAGAATATATTGCTTTGGCATAAGAATTTTTTCTATTAAAGACAAATAACAAAAAGAGGACACCAGAAAAGTTCTCTGTTYCTTCCTCTTTGCCTAAATGCAGGATATACATTTGTAAACGTCCTATAGAGGAAAAGGACTTTGGGTTTCTGGTGTGCAAATTGTGGGAAGCTAAGTAAACGGGAAGAGGAGTACTGGAAGATAAGGTTCTATGCATTCTTGTGATGCCTTCTGTAGGCTAAGCAGAGTCTGAAGTTTTGTCTCTGGTCTTTAGTTTCTGTCCTTCCTCTATCTGGCCACCCTCCCACAGCTTTATTGTTCTTTTGTTAAGATGATATACAAGCTCATGTTCTAATGGCCCTTTTGAATCACTTATCACTGGGGTGCTCATGTGTATGCACCATGAACATGTTAATAAATTTCTTTCTTTTTTTTTTTTTTTTTTTTGGTTAATCTGGCTTTGAATAGTTTAATTTTTAAGGCCACAGTCGATGAACCTAAAGTGAGTAGAGGGAAACACTATTTCCCTCTCCTACAATACCCTGTCCAGTGGAGGCTGACCCAGAGTTCATGGAGAAGATTGTAGGATCACAGCCTCTGCACTCCCTCTGGTTCCATTGGGAATGGTCTGGTCTGGACTGTTTGGTGTTTCCACACACAAAGCAGATGCTCTATAATTGCTGATGTTAGGCTCTTTTACCTCAGGGATGTCTTGGTCCATGCCCCAATAAAAGGGAAGTGGAGAGTGATTAAAGGCAGAAATACTGAGATGCTCCCAGATATACTGTGGATCTAGCAGGAGTCTCTAGACTATTGTGGAGGATAAAGTGCAGTGGCAATAGGTTAATTGTGGGGCAAAAGTTGCAAACTTGGATTATACTGCTTTGGTCTCTGTAGACTCTTAAAAGCTAGAGTTTCTAAGAAACAGTTGCACTAAATGTGTTGTGTCTATTGCAAGGATCCTGTGGTGAGAGCATCACTTCTGTATACTATGTGGCTTCAGGTTCTTGCACTAGTAAATGTGATTTATTTTTATCCTCTGCACATTATTTTTCTCTTGACTTTGTTTTTAGAAAGTTAGTTTAAGGTTGAATGTTTAACATACCCAGAAATRATAACAGGACCATATAGTTTGCATTGCTTGGCATTAAACCTATTCTAATTTATTATTTCCCTATCCATATTTTTCTTTTGCCTCTATTTTTCCCAAAATTCTTAATTTTTTCCTTAATATTATGTATATTTCTGTAAGCCATTTGAAATCTCAGGACAATGTTTTATACTCTTAATCAACGAGGGATTTCTTCTCTTCCTCTCATAATTACACATAAAATCCCTGGGTGAAAGGCAGCATAGGAAACTTTCAGTTCATTGTTTTCTCAGAGTGTGGTCCTCCAACTACCTGCTCCAGGAAATGCCTGGGGTGCTTATTAAAARTGCCCCGGACCTACTGAGTTGGGATCTTCAAAAGTGAATTCCAGCATTTTGCAATTTTCTAATCTAATTTATCAGATAATTCTTACCTACCTTACAGTAAGATGACTCAGCTACCCTCAGCTTATCTCAACTTGTGTCTGCCTGTTCAGCAAGGACCTTTAGGTTTATCTTCAAAGAACTGATTGGGAAAGAATTAACMCAGCTCCCTAGATTTTAGATGAGAAGTAAAGCTCACAGGGTAAAGTGACTTGCTTCAGGTCATGCCTGCTTTTCACACTCATCTCCCCTGCCAAATGGGTAAGTTTATTGGAAACCATCTCGCCCCAGCCAGAGAAGAACAGCTAGATGGCATTATCATTCCTTCCTTCCATTTGCTTTTAGGAATAAAGCAGTCAAAGCTCAGAGCTCCTGAATGGCTACCCCAGGGCTGTAGCTACTGTTGCTGCTGGTTCCAGATTCCTTCTGGCTTTATCCACAAGATCTGGGCTTGAATATTTTGTGGGCGGGTTTCTTCTCTAAGCTACCCCCAAAGCAAGAAGAAACTACATGTGTTTGTTTCTTTTCTTTTCCAGTACAGAGAACCCAAATGGAAATAAATGGTGGCTTAAATCATTTAACTTTAGGTTCACAGCAAAGGCCAGTGAAACAGCGTGGTTGATAAGAAGTTTCTACTACTACTCCCTAAAATCTATTTTCTGAGAATTAAAAAAAGAAAGAAAAGAAAAAATTGAAACAAAACAAAGCTCCTAAGCCTCCATTCAAAGAACGCCTCACAGAACAACGATTGGGTAGAACTCCAATCACTTCGAATATGTGATTTAAACACCTTTAGTAATATACCCTTATTAAACAACGCTAATGTCTGAAAGTATAATAAACTGTTCAGCAGAAAACAAGATTCTTCATATTTTACAATTTTGTAAGAAACTTGAAATCGGGCTGTGAAGAGTAATGTAAGATCTGATTAAAGTTCAGATTATTGCCCAAACATATGGCTGTTAAATAAGTTGCATTAAAAAGAATTACTCTTGCCCTTGGCTACTCTCACACCTCCAAACAAAGTAATGTTTCTTGATGATCTCAATAAGTTACTAAACTGCCCTTAAAAACCTAATTTTGCATGAAACCCTGGAGCAAAACCTTGGCAATATTAAGATGCAGATTTTCCATGGAACAGCATATACTTATTTTGGACCCTGCGGCTGTACGCGTTCATTTGATATGCATCATAAAACCGGCAAGCAGCCCTTTGTCAGGAACTTAGCAGTTGCCAAACATGAAACATGGAAAAACTGTGGGAACTGGTTCCACTTTTTCAATTTACAGCTTAGCTCTCTCTTTTGAGTTAGTCTTCTGGTGGTTCTGTATGAGTTTTGAGGAGCAAAGGCAGCAGTCAYTAACTACTTTTTAAACATGAATTGAGATACCTTCTGGAGTAGTCTCTGAGAGCACATCTGAACTTCTTGACACGCTTTATAAATCTTCCATCAAAAGTGACTCTAATGTATTTCACATATACAGAATAAAACATCATTGCTTTTTATTACATTAAATCAGAACCTTTGATAACATTCAAATAAATTTTTTATACAAATCTTAATAATATGCTCTCAACAAAAAAGATTTGCCAGAAGACATATTTTAAATGGAACACAGCAATTTAAAAGCTTAAATAATCACTCCTAGAATAATATCCATGTCTTCCATTTTCCCATTTAGAAAAAAAAATAACATCAGTTATAGACATGATCTTAGTCATTTCCTCCATCATTTTAAGCTTATATCGGGTAATATCTTATTAACCTTTGTTTTCTCACTGCTGGTACCTGAAGGTAGTACAATTATTTTCTCTGGAAAATGTTCAACAGTTCAGCACTTTTATTAGGTCACATTTTCACCAGTCTTTCCACAAGTAGTTTTCATGTAGTGAAGTTTTGCTAATCATCATAAGAGGGATTTTGTTCAGCAAATAAAGGGCAAATGTCAATATATCCCAAAATATGAATATTATTATCTAAAATGAATGTGCTTTTGTGTACCTGTTTTGCTTTAAGCTCTATCAAAAGATAGATTGACTTGAGCATTTACTTGCATGGCAATTTGGAAAATTCCAGCCTTGCAGGAGCTAACCTCCTTACTTGTCCTTTCCAACAAACACTGTCAAAGAGGCAAAGTGAAAGGAGCTCAAGTGTAAAAAATTTCTGTAACCTTCATCTCACATGTGGTATTAAAGGTGAAACCAAGTTGCTCACTGGGTTTATAATTTACATCAAAAATTATTTAGGGATTGAAGTTGTGGCTCAGGGGTAGAGCACATGTGAGGCACTGGGTTCGATCCTCAGCACCACATAAATCCATCAATCAATCAATAAAAGTTACTTAAAAAAATCATTTAGGAGGAGGACAATGCTTACCAATTCCAGCTTCTCCAACAATCCAGGAGAGGCGAATGAAGAGCATGACTCCCCAGATATTCAGCATGCATCTTACCTGTGAGTAAAAAAGGGACATTGAAGAGACATGAGAAGCAAATATGGGGCAAAATTCAGTCATGTTTGTAATTCTAGTGTTCAGGCCTTGCTGACAATTAATCATAGAGTGATTAAGTGACACTAGATCATAGAGTGGATGGTTTTCATTTGTAAACACAGGAGCTTTCTCACCAGCACACCTTTCACCCATCCAAACTTCACGACACCAGTTGTATCTTCTTCCTCCTTGTTTTCTGCTTGTTCATCTCCAGGCATCCCATCGCCATTAGCAACCCTGTCARCTGAACCTGGGGCCACTGTCACATTCTGCATTTTTACAGAGAGTAAAAATATCGAAGTCAACAAACAAATGATTCCATAAAGCTTTCAAAGGCAAATCAAAACAATTCACACGAAACTTTAGACAAGACAAAACCAAAAACATTCTGGTCATTTTAGCAAAATAGCTCACCCTGTAGCTCACTCTCACCTCCCCCTGCCCAGCTGATGTGTTCCTTTAGTCAGTGACTTTTAGGCTAAACCTACAGGGGTGGTGAATGGAAGGAACCTAGATGGTCCTCCCACTAATGAGATTATGTCCTTAAATATGATAAGTTAAAACAAAAAAAGGAACAAAGAGAAGAGATGAAAGGAAGGAAGCCTAGTAAGACTAAACTAGCATCTTTGGGGCAGCTTGTTGGAAGGACCAGAAAAATAACTTTCCTCAGTACTGCAGAGTATCTGGAATTCTTTCCCCATGCTCCATTTTAATCACCCAAGATAATGACAATAAAGACAATAAAACTCAGAAGGTCTTTAAGAGGATTCAGTGGAAAAAACAAAACAAAAAAGCCACATGCAAGACTAGTTTCTTACAGGTTTGATGTGTCTGATAATTGTTGAGTATACTAGCTTTGTGTAGAGGGTAAAAGGTCTCATGACCAACTAACTACCAGAAAGATTTGCTAAGAATAAAAACTAAGTAGTATAAAATAATGATTAAAACCTTTATGCATTTTTTTCTATGACCTAATTTGRGAAAGAAAAAAAAACACAACTTCCTTTCTAGAGTGATAACCTCTGAGTTCAATGGGGAGAAAATATCTGTTTCAAGTTAAAAAAAACAAAAAGCTCTCTATCTCCAATAGCTCTTCTAGATATGACTTTGAATAATTTCAGATGCTTCTAGTTAATTTAGTCTATCTAGCACCTGCTTGGCTCTTTACTCAGTAAACTACATCTCACTGAGCTTCCCCAAAGCAACTTTTCCAGTACCAGTTTTGAAATCACTGAAGAAGCCCCTTTGATCCAGGACTGAATTATCATTATTATGGGATAATTTTATTTTAGTTTAGTTATATAAATTGTTGTTTTTTTTTCTTTTTGGGAGAGAAGCGGGTGTTGTTTCTATTTTTTTTTTTTTTTTTGGAACTAAGTATTGAACCTGAGGGTTCTGTATCCCTGAGCTACATCCTCATCCTTTTTTTATTTTATTTTGAGACAGGGTCTCACTTAGTTGCCCAAGCTAGCCTTGAACTTCCCATCCTCCTGCCTCAGCCTCCTGAGTTGCTAGGGTTACAGGGGTGTGCCACCATACCAGGCTCTAAATTGGCTTAAGCCTAGGATGCTATGTTCTGATGTCATTAAGAAAACTTGATGGAACTATTTTTTCCTTCTAAAATGAGACTGGTGTATAGTAAACATTTAGTTTTTATTATAAAAACTTTGTTTTGGAATAATTAACTTTCTGGCCTTGCGTACTCAAGGGCTCTTGGATCTTTGGGCTTTTGCATGCCATTAGTCTGACTATTGTAAACTGACTCTAATTTGGGCTATTTAATTCCAGGAAATTTGACTTCTTATCTTCCAGCATGTTCTCTCCTTCATTGTGTAAATACAAATGCATACCTAACTTTCTTCCCCATAAGACTTTATTCATAATACTAGTGTGACATTTAGATAACTAATAAAATATAATGTGATAGGAGTCACTCTGTGACAACTGACTCAGAGAAGGACAGTAGTGTGCATTGCTCTTCAACATCAATAAAGGGTTTATCATACAAAGGCCCTAATAAATGATGTTGAATCTGTAAAGTGGATCTAAATTCCCTGATCTCTACCACTTGGGATCAGATGTCTTAGTTTCTTATCCATTCTAATCTCCTATTTCTTTTTCTTTTTCTTCCTTATAAGTCCATTTCCTCTGTGCAGGCCACATTTAAAAAGAGAGAGGAAGAAAAATAAATCTCAAGTCAGCTCATCTTATTATTTTCTGACAGTAGTGGGGAAAAAATTTAACAATAGAGGAAATTAAAATTAACAGTTAAACCAGGTGTGGTAGCTCATGCCAGTAATCCCAGATACTCCAGAGGCTGAGGTAGGAGGAGCTCAAATTCTGGGATGACCCCAGCAATTTAGTGAGGCCCTGAGCAACTTAGCAGGGCCCTGTCTCAAAATAAAAAATAAAAAGGGTTGGAGATRTAGCTCAGTGGTAAGATGTTCAATTTCTAGTATCAAACACAAACAAACAAAAATCTCACAAAACAAGMAGCACAAAGAAAACTTAGTTTTGAATTACTGATGTAATATCTTAAGCATCTTCAATTCCTATTTGCATAGATAATGAAAAACCAATATATTCAGACCAATGTAAAATAGAGATAAATAACATTCAAAGAAATTGAGGCCAATCTCACAGGGCAGAAACTGGTGGTCTATACCAGCTACAAATGCAAGTTATGTATGTAATTCAAAATTTTCTAGTAATTACTTTTATCTATTTATTCATTCATTTATATTTGGAGCCAGGAATTGAACCTAGCACCTAGTACATGTTAAGCAAGAGCTCTACCACTGAGCTATACTCCCAGCCCCTATAGCTATGTTTTAAAGAGTTTAAAAAATCTAAAGATGTATTTAATTCTTAAATACAATATGAAAATCACATTTTATATTTCTAGCATTTGCTATGTAAATATATTTTAATAGTAGTAGCACCTTACCTTGTGGAAAGGAACTGAATCATTGTTTTAATACAATATTTTATTTAATGGAATATAAAGTATTATTTAAACATATAATCAGCATAAGAAAATATTCATAAGATATTTTATGTATTCTTTTTATAGTAAGTCTTTGAATATGGGGTATATTTTCCATGACAACACATTTTGGCTTGCATTACTGACATTTCTGTTGTTCACTAGTCACAAGTAGTTAATGGCTACCATATTGGACAACAAAGATCTATACAATGCAGTCAATTTTGGATGAAACATTTGATGTTATTTTCAATTTAATACAAACTCTATTTTTTTCTTAACAAATTCTATAGATGCAGCAGCTACATGGGTCAAACGTAACTCTCTTTATAACTGAAATTTATAATCATTAAAGGCAGGAAATTTAGGAATGTGTTAAAATATCCATGAATGTTGAAGACATTATTTGGTTAGGGGATTAATTTATTTCACTTAATTTRAAAACAATTTCCAAAAAAATTATCAGTGTTCTAGCGAATCAAGTGTCTCGTGACCAGATCATCAGCAGATATTCATTCAGGAAGAAGGTGACTTTCTTTGCCTGGATTAATTGGAGACCCCATGAGACATAGTCTCAGTCACTTGTTTTTTAAAGGCAGTCTTGGGACTAGAACCATATTTTCTGACTAAAACTGAACTTGAGGATTTGGTCCAAGAAATTGCTCTGCTCTCTGATGAATACCAAAAGCGACTGTGACCCTTAGGTCTGGATCAATGAGAATACCAATGACTGAAAAAAATACAAAGTCAGCTTCAGGATGAATAGGATATTTAACATTTCCCTTAAATGAACATTTCTTCTTGATGGATGCCCTTCCTGGTCACAGTTTAGTTAACAGTTTTTTAATTTATCTTTAGAACGTCACAATATGATGTAAAACGAATTTTCTATGAGGGCATGACAGAAAAACCAGCACATGTGGAAGTCAGTAAAGCAATCATTTTCTAAATTATTCAAAAATAGAGCCAATGTAGGGTTTCTAGTCTCCTTTAGGTAAATATTGTAACCTGCTGAAGTTTCAAAGTTTTAAATACATTTATATTATGTATACTATTGGGGGCGATGGAGGGGGGGACCTGAATGCATACTTTTTCCCCCACTAGTAAGGTTTGATAGTATAAATACAAGCACAGATGCCATTTTCATTGCTTACTCTACTGTTGGAGCTGAAAAATCCTACATCTTATAAACTAGGAAACTTGGAMTCTAGCTTTGACAGTGCAATTAATTTAGGGCGTGTCTTCCAGTAAGTTGCTTAGCTTTTCTTGGAAGCTGCCAATGAGAATAAATCCAATGGGTTTTCTGAAAATCTTATCTGGAAATAATTTACTCTAAGGCAAAATCATTCCTCTATGTCTGCCACCTTTCTGTTCTAACATGGCAAAGCTAAACTTCGTCTCACTCTTTAATAAACGCCTCCTTGATAAACTCAAAGCATCCTCAAAATACTGTACCTGACTTTGGGCTGAGGGTTTGTGGGGCCTTGATGGCTATGAACTATGCCCAGTGGCTCATAGACTCCTGGCTGGTATATATTCTTTTTTTTTTTTTTTTGAATTTTTTTAATATTTATTTTTTAGTTTTCGGCCGACACAACATCTTTGTTGGTATGTGGTGCTGAGGATCGAACCCGGGCCGCACGCATGCCAGGCGAGCGCGCTACCACTTGAGCCACATCCCCAGCCCCTGGTATATATTCTTGAAATCAAAGTCTCAGAGATCAAAAGTTTTATGATTGCACCCTGAAACCAGTTTTTTTCCTTTATACTTTGAATTAATTTGTTTGTTCACACTCCATTAGCATAAATGATGACCCATAACCTTTTGTAAATGCATTTTAAATTATATAGCTTTAGGGAAGGATTATTTATTTACTGAGAGTTTTACAGGTAAGGTTTTTTTGTTTTCCCCTAAAGCACTAAATACACCTTTAAAAAAGAAAGAGTGTTTGATAAAAGATTTTTCCTCYTCCAATATCAATAAACTGGTGAGGCTTCAATCACATGCAGTTTAAGGGACAGATCACTAATGAATTCTTCCAGATAATGACAGATTATTTTATTTAATATATAATGTGTGTCTTCAGTTTCTCTAAAAATGTCTTTGTACATATCATCAAAACAGAGGAAATTAAATATATTTATTCTTTAAATTCCAATTAGGGAAGTTTGCTACTTATACATGCTCTCCAGCTTTGAGCTTTAATCTCAAGGTGATAGAATTCTCATAAATATTTAGTCCTAGATGATCCCCCATTGTTTTAAATTTTCTTTTATTATTTA